CAAGGCTTCTTGGAAACACAGAATAACCAGAACGAACGACTGGTTCAAACCGATCGGATCTTGAAACCGTGAGAGGGGAACGAGAGGGGTACGTGCTTAGATTGGATTCATTTGGATCAGAATAGATTACTATTAAGCAACATAGATCCATGTCATGTTCAAAACTTAGTAGCTGATGCAGGCGTACCCGTGCCCACTCCTCCTTCTTCTCCACCGCCACCCTTGGAGCCTGGTCCGTTCAATGTTTTGTCGACTGCCCCAACCACACCCCCGTCACCGGGTTTGCCATTCGTGCCGCCACCGGGAGTAACCCCTGCATGTAGAATCTGTCTTATTGGAACTGCATCACCAACGCTAGATAATCCGAACCATAACTCTGGTAAAAGACTAAAACCGGGCAAGATACATTGCTCGAAAAGATAAGAATATGAAGCGCGTGCCATTTCAAGACCATGCAACGCCAGCTCTGAAAGCCATGGGCCAAAATCTTTGCGGAACCGAAAGTAACCAGAACAAACGGCAGAGAAAATTGAGGATTGTGAGAAGGGGTAGGAGCTCAGATTCCCAAAGTGGGTTCATCTGGATTCGAGCATTCCCAAAGTGGGTTCATCTGGATTCGAGCAGGATCAAATTCTAAGTGCCTGATGTAGGCGTACCGGTGCCCACTCCTCCACCTTCTCCACCGCCACCCTTGGAGCCTGGTCCATTCAATGCTTTGTCGACTGCCCCAACCACACCCGCGTCCCCAGGTTTGTCGTCTGCGACGCCGCCGGGAGTAACCCCTGCGGGTGAAATTTGTCTTATCGGGATTGTGTCACCCACAATAGATCGTCCAAACCATACAATCGGTAAAAGAATACACCCGGCTAAAGAAGCATCGCTCGAAAAGATAGTAGAAGAAGGGCACGCCCCATCTCGGGACCATACAACGCTAATCCGATTCTAGCCCAACTCTGAAACTTATCCGTCAAGAAGCTTCTTGGAACCTCAGAACAACTAGAATGAACAACTAATATGAACAACTGGTTCAGACAGAGCGAATCTTGAGACTGTGAGAAGGAGAACGAGCTCAGATTCTCAGAGTGGATTTATCTGGGCCTGAAGAGAATTACTTTCTGATTAACATAGATACATGTCATGTTCGAGACTTAGTACCTGATGCGGGCGTACCCGTGCCCACTCCTCCACCTTCTCCACCGCCACCCTTGGAGCTTGGTCCGTTCAATGCTTTGTCGACTGCCCCAATTACACCCCCGTCACCAGGTTTGTCATTTGTGACGCCGCCGGGAGTAACCCCTGCAAGTAAACTTTGTCTCATTAAGATTGCGTCACCAACGGCAGATCGTTCGAATTATACCAACGGTAAAAGACTACAACCGGGCAAGATGCTTGCTCGAAGAGATGAAGTGAGAAGCGCGTGCCCCATCTCAGGACCATGCAACACTGACCGGATTCTAAGCCCACTCGAAAACTCATCGGCCAAAAGAGGACCCAAAGAAACAAGAACGAACGACCAATCGGAACTTGAGAATTGGGAGAAGGGGTACAAGCTAGATTCTCAAATTGGATTCGTCTGGATCTGAGGGGGTTCACTTTCATCAGGACAGATGAATATAAACAAGCAACTCATGTTCAAGACTTGGTACCTGATGCGGGCGTACCCGTGCCCACTCCTCCACCTTCTCCACCGCCACCCTTGGAGCCTGGTCCGTTCAATGCTTTGTCGACTGCTCCGACCACACCCCCGTCACCAGGCTTGTCATTGGTGCCCCCGCCAGGAGTAACCTCTGCACGTAGAATTTGTGTTATCGGGATTGTGTCACCAACAGCAATCATCCGGACCATGATACCGTAGGTAAAAGAATACAAAACGGGCAAGATGCATCGCTCGAAAAGATAAAATAAGAAGCGCATGCCCTATCTCAGGGCCATACAACGCTGATCCGACTCTAGCCCAACTCTGAAACTTATCCGTCAAGAAGCTTCTTGGAAGTCAGAATACTAGAACGACAGGCTGCTTTAAACCGATCGGATCTTCAGACTGTGAGAAGGGGTACGAGTTCAGATTACCAAAGTGGATCCATCTAGATGTAGTTCCTGCATTTTAAATTGATCCTACTAAAAAGTGCGTCACAGATGGCAAACGTACTATTCGACCGTACCACCATAAAAACTTGGACAAACCGGGGAGACGCTCTGCTTGAAACGATTACGTAAGACGTGCGTGCCCCAATTGGAAACTGTGCAATGCTGATTTCTGATCTACCCCAACCTTCATCTCTGATAAATTTCAAAGGAGCTGAAAATGCAAGCGTCACAGAATCGGAGAATTGACCAATCTAGTCATGAGACTTTGAGAACGAGCACTTGCTCAATTCTCAGACTGGAATATCTAGATTCGAAGCAGATCCCACTGACATTCATGAACGTCGAATCCACAAGACAGACATACCCTTGGAGAGAATGGGGGTCGAATGCACACGAAACCCGGAAAGAAACAAGCCCCCCATTCCAAACCAAACCACTCATCGCTGATCACATTTTGTGGTTCTTGTGACTGTAAGTGATTATACACAAAAGCGAGACACAAACAGCTTCTAGAACATTAGGGAATACAATACATCAGATCTACGAAACTCTTCAAACCAATCTGATCTTGAGGTCGACAGCACGGGGTTCTAATGTAGAGGCTCACAATGGATCCCTTTAGGTTATGGCAACTTCGACCTTTGATAACATCAATCACACGTGAATAAGGGCCCAAGCAAATCCTTCTTGAGCCCGAGCACCTGTTGCTGGCGTAGTCGTGCCCGCTCCTTGCTCTTGACCAGGTTCGCCACCGCCGCCCTTGGAGTTTGTGCCACTTAATGCCTTGTCAACTACTCCAACCACACCCCGGTCGCCGGGCTTGTCATCTGCAGTACCGCCTGTAGTAGTACCTGCAATTGATGTTTTCTCAATTCCCAATGCGTACATGGAAGCGGACTGATCAGAACCATATCCACAGAGAAACGGACAGATTTCTGGGGAGCACCGCTTGAAGGTCAGAAATGAAGTGAGTGTTCTATTCTGAAGCACGCAAGGGTCATCAGCTTCGATAGTTCACGTGTGACCGAATTTGAAGATAAGCATATAAGAACCTAAGACGATCATACGGGACATGAGAGCATTGAATTGCATACTTGACCTTGTTCACCACCGCCCGTGGAAGCTGGACCGTTGAGAGCCTTGTCGACTACTCCAACTACACCCTTGTCGCCGGGCTTGTCGGCTGCAACACCGCTTGTAGGGGTGCCTGCATATACAATTTGCTCCTTTAGATATAAATGGAAGCCCGTATTCCGCAATGGACAGACGCACAAAGATACACAGTTTAGAATAGATCAAAACGGAACGGCTCAACGAGTGTTACAATTTAACTTGCTGAAAGGAAAAGCAAGAATCTCGCAATATCAGCCACCATAGCAGCATATTTGAATTGAGCACATGATCCACTGTATGAAAAGCAACAAAGGGGACCGTCACAGTGGATCTGACCGATTGAAGGAAATCAGCTTTTGTATGCGCTAGGTATAACCAGCAAGCGGGTTCCTCTTTGATACCTGTTGCAGGCGCAGTCGTGCCCGCTCCTTGTTCACCTTGTTCACCGCCACCACTTGCGTTTGTACCGCTTAGTGCTTTGTCGACTACCCCAACCAGGCCCCGGTCGCCGGGCGTCTCATCTGCGGCTCCGCTTGAATCGGTTCCTGCATTCCAAAGTCAACCTTTGAGATTCGCATAGAAGCAGATTATCTCGTCAGGTCCTTGACGAACTAGATACAGGTCGACACGAAGCTCGACGAGGTGGAGCAAGGAGCGAGCACCCCATTGAAAGCCAAGTTGTGCGAATATACGTCCGCAACTCAACAGACTACGTAAAAAACGAGACGAGATCGGCGACTCTCCTAGCGGTGATTGCCACCGAGCACAAGCAGTTTTGAGAAGGTACACGAGATCAGACTTTCACAAATCATCCTTTTACTTCGAGCAAGTCTATCATTGACTGTGTCGGATATGCAAGCATGTTCTCCTACCTGCTGCAGGAGTGTCCGCTCCTTGCTGGCCTTGTCCGCCACCGTTTAGGGCCTTGTCAACTACCCCAACCAGACCCCCGTCGCCAAGCTTGTCGTCCGCGAGACCGGTCGAAGGGGTACCTGCGTGTAATATCAATACCTCAAAGCAAGCCGTTCTGTGCAGATGACCTTTGTAACTCAAGAACTTTAGAATGAATGAGACGAGAAATGACGACCCCCTTGGCGGTGTAATGCTACCGAGCAGATTGAATCTTCCGAAGGTACACCAGAGCAAATTTCCACAAGGGATCCGTTTGAGTTCGAGCGAGTACATGCATCAGTGACTGTGTCGAAGTATGCAAGCCTGTTCTCCAGTACCTGCTGCTGTAGGGGTGCCCCCTCCTTCCTGGCCCTGTCCACCACCGCTCAGCGTCTTGTCCACTACTCCAACCAGACCCCCGTTGCCTAGCTTGTCGTCCGCGACGCCGGTTGCAGGGGTGCCTGCGTGTGAAGTACAGTACCTCAACAAAAGCCATTCTGATTTTGCGAATTGAGTTCGCGACTCAACAGACTAAGGAAGAAATGGGACGAGGGTCGACGACTACCCTAGCGGTGAATTGCAACCAAGCACAAGCAATATTGAGAAGGTTCGCTAGGCCGATTTTCGCATAGGATCCTTTTGACTTCGAGCAAGTTCGTGCATCATTGACTGTGTCGAAGTATGCGAGCCAGTTCTCCCGTACCTGCTGCAGGGGTGCCCGCTCCTTCCTGGCCCTGTCCACCACCGCTCAGCGTCTTGTCCACTACCCCAACCAGACCCCCGTTGCCTAGCTTGTCATCCGCGACGCCAGTTGCAGGGGTGCCTGCGTGTGAAATCAACACCCAAATGAAAGCCGTCCTGTGGCGGACTGGTTTGCAACTCAACGAACTCCAGAATACATAAGATGAGGTTCCAGACCCCCACAGCTCTAAAATGCAACCGAGCAGTTGAGCGGGTACATTTGAGCGATTTTTCATGTTGGAACCTTTGGCTTCGAGAAAACTCAGCACTGATCGCTTTATCTACGCAAGCCAACTTGAAGTCTGCAGTTCTCCAATACCTGCTACGGGTGTCGCCGTGCCCGCTCCTTGTTGGCCTTGTCCACCTCCGCTTAGTGCCTTGTCGACTACGCCAACCAGACCCCCGTCGCCGAGCTTGTCGTCTGCAACGCCGGTTGAAGGGGTGCCTGCGGTAGAATCGGTCCCTTTGAAATGCGAAAAGTTCAGATTCTGGAGCATGAATACCCTCGGGAAAAGGTGACAAAAGCGTCTGCTTTCTCCAAACGTGAGAGAGTCGCGAGTGAATGTGCCTTAGGAGTTCCGAAAACTGTAACCAGCAGCGCTCTTGTACACGAGGTCACTTGAACGATTGACTTTTGGCCCTGAAGTGATGTGACAAAACAGAGTGCGGCTCAATGGGTAATAAGGGTATGAGCAGCTCAGCATGTAGAAGCATCGAGGACCTACGGCACCTCACGTCAGGGGCAAGCGCTCTTCCATGTTTGAGCTGGCCAATCGTCCAGAGAAGACTCCGTTTTGCATGTGCAAAGGAAGGCAAAAGGGCACCGGCGCTGTCGCAGAATTTGGGAGGAACGTTCATAATACAAGTCTGGAACGTTATTCGACTATCAGACTCGTAAATGCACGTGCCTGCAACTCTACATGGCGTCAGAGGTTGAATCGGAGTACGTTCTTCTTTGAAAGTGATAAGCATCCTCAAGACAGGACCTCTAACTCGAGCCGGGACAAAACCACCAAAGACAGCCAACCGATAATAGGGACGGGTATATGAATGGGTTGAACGGAACAGAAGTCAGGCCAGAGAAGGACGTAAAGTGACAATGACTTGTAACTCTGCTGTTGCAAATCATGACAAAAATGGTCCCTCACTCAGACTAGCACATTGGAGAACCTGCAACATGCACCAGAGAACCTTCGACACGCACAAGTATCCGTTTTCCCTTTGATTGATAAATGTGGACATCTAAATTTGGAGGAAGTCTCATTTGCTATCGGAGACTTAAGGAGGCTACAAAGCCCGCAGCCACTACGGCGTCTACTACGGCGCAGCCACTACGGCGTCTACGGCGTGCTTGCCCTCACCAACCGTGGAGCTTTTCTCAGGGGCTGCGGTCCCTGGACTAGTGCTGGTTACAGTGGTAATAGTGGTTGTGGTAGTAGTAGTAGTGCCACTCGGAGCGATAGCAGAACCTGCAACGTTCAGCCCATTACAATCACCAAGAAGCACTCAACCAGAAGACCACTACGAAGATACGAAAACAGAGGCGGCGAGCATTAAGGGCAACTAAGGGTGAACAAATCGAGGGAACACTCGGAAAGGTCCAAGCAGGCAAGAGAAGTCCAAGCAGCGTGAACATGCACTTGCTTGGCTTCTCAAGTGAGCGACTATGTACTAGTAAAACCCCTAATTGTTTAGCCGGAGTCCTCCGCCATCAAGAATGACCTTTGAAGCAGACTATTGCCCTGTTCCGAATCGCCGTTGAACGTCGCGAAACTCCACCAGTACTCGAAAGCAGAAAATGGTTGGCAGAAGGGAGGACAAAACGACAAAAGGCCTCCGCAAGTCATTGTAAGAAGAAGGTGTTTTTTTCGGAAGGAGCCAAGACGTCAGCACAAACGGCATTGAAAGGAGCAGAAGCGACTTCGTAAAAGGCAGCTTCGCCATGGAAAGAAACGAGGGGCATGTAAGTCAGAAAGGTCAGAAATGGCAGACTCTCTCGTGCTACTATGCATGCCAAAGGCATTGCAGGGCAGGGAGTCGCTGGACGACGTCGTGACAAGCGGATTGTATTTGCAAGTCAAACTTGCCTTAATGAAGCAAGCTTATGACGCATGATAAGGTGCTCAGCCAACGAAGCCTGCTCGACCGAACAGATTAACAGCTCACGAAGCAAGCCTTTAAGCAAGGAAAGGCGCCGCAACGATAACAGTCGTCAACCTCCTTGAAGTTTCAGGAGGGCGGCACTAGCTCGCAGCAATCGACGTGCTTTCAATTCCAACTCCGTTATGAAAAGAAAGCAGAGAGGGAAGAATACGAATAGAACACGGTTGCGATTCTAAGGCTGCAGTTCGCAACGGAGCAGAATCGGAAACGCACTACTGTAGGTTTTCGAAGGAAGCAGCCCCAGCTCGAATGACTACGGGAAAAGACGAAGTGCCCACGCTTGAGCGACCATGAAGTGACATGAATAGGGACGAAACACGATGATAAGCAGCCCAAAGGCGTAGGTACTCAGGCCTCTATTAAGTCCGATAGGCCTGCTGGTCTTTGTCAACGTAGAACCGTCCGCAGAATCTTATGAGAAGACATCCGCTTAACGTTGGTCGTCGACGGCTGAAACGAAGACCAACAATCAAGCACATTCAAAACGCTGTGCCGCTGTGGTGGGAGAATGTTCTTCTCAAACAGCGCTTGCGTGAAATGTCTGGCGGCGGATGGGCTGAACGGCAGCAGAAGACGAGACTACGCGCCATCATCCCATGCTGACAAAACTTTCAAATCATAAGCCTGTAACAGGAAAGTAGTCTGCAAAGCTTACCGGCGGCTGGGGCGCCAGTCTGGGGAACTGCAGAGGTTGTGTCCGCAGGCACTGCAGGGGTCGCACCAACATTTGGTACTGCCCCCACACACCTGCAAAAGAAGGCTGTTTGTGAGCATGCTGTCTTTCATACGTGTCAGCTTTTCCAAATAAAACATTCCCCGGCTCCTTTCACAAAACTAGCTCCCCGGAGCTAGAATCGTTTGCTCGAGCTCTGACAAAGCAGGGAATCCTTGATAGTGAAACTTCGCTCACACCTGGCCTACTTGATCTCAATGTGGAATCCATCGCAAAGGGGGACAACAGGTGGATGCATGACCTTGAAAATTGCTGATCCAAAAACCTTTTGTAAGATGACTGCTGAGGTCCTGGAACAAGGACAGCCTACACGAAGTCTTGACCAGGGAATCGTCATTCACGAAATTGGAAGTCGTGGGGATCCTGACCACTTGGTACTTTTCTCTGTGTTACAGGTTTTGTTATTGTTCGTTGTGTGCAGGATTTGGCAATTAAGACCCTGACAGGCCCGTGGCAGTGTCTCCTTGCATGCAGACACGGGTGGCTGGGGCAGAAAGATCCGTTTTCTTACCGTGAGTGCCAAGTGAGCACAAGTAAGCATGGCCGGCGATTGCTGATGTTATCATGATATGTAAGCACGATAGCGAAGACCGTGCGGAAAATGATGACAGAAGCAAGCTTGATTCATTAAACAAGAGCTGGATCGTGTGGCACTGAATTAGCACTCAAACAGCGTACCAGCGGTTTGACGAGCTTGGGCAGTGTTTGCAGATCTAGGTTGAGCAAGTGAAAAGGCAGAAAAGTGTTACTTTCAGCCCGGTTCTACTGCTGAAGCATGTGGATGTTGACGTGATCATCGCGAGAACTAGCTGATCTTTGGGTATCTACCTGCAACTTGCAAGATCTACCCAATTGATGCAAGATCTTGGTGAAGTCCAACCGTGTTTGAAAGAATCCGATCGTGAGGCAGGGGAATTAACATGCAGACCCTCACTTCTGAGCCCAAGGGATAGCAGGGATTAACTCTGTAGTCAATAACCAAGCCTGCAACGGTTTCCTTCACCTGATCTGCTTAATCTGGGGGGCGTGCTGGACGCCAAAACCACGCCGTGAGGAAAGATCCCCTATCCGTCTGGACACAGCTGCGGTACGGGCGACTGATGCGTGTGTTCCAAACTGCATAGACAGATCAATCTGATAAGTCCCAGCTGTGATCTTACTTTGATCTTTCTGGGTTGAGACAGGCGAGGGACTTTGGGTAACTGTGGGGAAGTTCAGCTAAATTGTGGGGGGAAGATGGAAAGTGCGGTCCAGCTTAGGATGCATCCTTCCATTGGAGAACGGATTGCAGATTTGGGGCCTGAAGAGGGCTTTGGGTGCTGGGTGGAGAGTGAATCTGGGCAGCCAGAGGGGGCAACAAACTGAGAAGACTGCCAAGAAATAGTTGATTAGTGGTGGATGATCAGGAGAACAGAGTTCTGTTCAAAGATAAGGACCCGTCTCCGATCCTCATTGCTAGACTCCCAGTTGTGAGGGCCCGGATGTATTTGATTGCTCTGAGAGGGCCAGGATGTAATTTGGTTTAACCTCATTGCTGCGGAAAACCAGCAACATAGCAGTTGACACCCTTCATGAGCAGTCACAAGGACCTGATTAGATACATTTTCCTGCAAAGTCTGAGTACCTTGTTGCCGCTGAGCCTCCTCTACTGAAGGTGCGTCCCAAGTCAACGTCCATTCACAGATCCCGCATATTGAACATTTACCAATCCCGATGAGACCGAGATTCAAGAAGCACCGAAACGAGAATTGATAGGATAAGTCACACAGGAGTCATAAAGAAATGTACACATACCTGTGCTGGAATCAACTTGATTGGATTGACACCAGGCGCCCAGCTGCTTCTCACGCCAATTGCAGTATGGACACTAACGCTGCACTGGTTCTTTGAAAGCGACACCATGCCACTCGTCTGGAAGCCCATGCTGGCACTCATTGCTGCTCAGAGATGCCGATGCTGAGCTGATGCAAGCGTGCGTCAGCAGGCGTGCTGTACGCTGGCGCCGAACACTGCAAGCTGTGCGGTGGGGTGCCAAGAGAGCAATAAATGGATGGAAATCTGACTAAGTTTATCCGCTTGATTGCCAATTGCGTCCTTACGACCACCCACACGCATGTCCAAAGCTTTAGTTGTCGCTCACACATATGTATCAGGCAAAGTAGGGCACCAACAAACTACTGACCATCGGCGTTGGAAGCCAGTAGATAGAGGTCTGGCTGCTGCAGTTCAGGAGCCCTGAGAAGCAGAGCTAACTAGTGGCTGCTCCACAAGGCTGCACCACCAACCTATCAACAGCTTTATTTTGAAGCTTGTGATTTGAGGCACTACGGCATTGCACACGATTGCAAGTACGGCACTTGTGGGGAATCAGCCAATGCCTTCTGCAGCTACATTCAACACCCATGCAGGCCTCCAGCATTTCTTGTCAGTAGCACAAGGGATGGTGGGGACATTGCAGCTCTTTTGCCCTTCTCTTGTAGGCTTGAGCTGACTTCTGCAAGGAGCCATTGCGCCAGGTGTCGCCCTGCATGTCCCTCTCTTCCACAGCCTTGCGGCGGCCATGATGAAGTGCGATATCCTATAAGACACTTCAAGTTCAAGCCGCCGCCAGTAGGATAAGTTAGGATGTAGGAATGCTCAGGGAAGTGCTCAGCTAGGGAATGGAAAGTGGCCCTTCCTTCTTTCAATGTCGGAGTGCCTGCGGCCCTCACCTAGCGATTGCTCAGAGACATGTACCAAGCAGTCCCAAAAGTCTGCCACTATATTTCTGCAGTCAGAAGTGTGACGGTTCGGTCCCCGGTCGTAGGATACCGGGCAGTTTTATTTGCAGAAGTAAGTGCGTGGGATCTTGGTAAACGGTCCTAGCTTTTCGGCTTCCGCGACGACTCTGCACGACTCCTAGACGTCCATTTCTGTGGAAGAAATATATCTACGTACGAGAGTGGTCAAGGGCCTCATGAGTCGTGGCCGAACTACGGTGTGGCAGCGACAAAGTGCATATGCATAATGCAAGTTGAGCTAGCCAATCGAAGGGAGTGTATTTGATCACGTGGTACAAAGGGGTACCAACCGCGGTTGAACGAGCAGGGCAACGACTTCTTGTCGATACCCACCGAAACAGGAACCGAGGACTTTTGCGGTATCCGTTTCGGGGAGCTGTTCAAGGGCCAGGCTGACGTCCCTAGGAAGCTGGTGACCTTCAGGCTTCAGACTCACAGTTCAAGCAACTTTGGACGCAGCTAGGGCGCTTGCATCGGTGTTGCTGAGGCATGTAGGATTGAATTATAGGTTTGCTTTGGGAGGAACGCCCACAGCATACCATGGCCTCTTCCATGGGCACGATGCACTCGGCCGCTTCAGCTTTTGCAACTCTTTTGCAGCCCACGAAATCCAGCACCGTGGTCGCAGATTTTATCAGCGGCAGCTCAGGCAGCAATTTTCTTGCCCCTTTTCCTCTCTGTCCTACATCAAACTCGAAACCCTTGACCAAAAGCAAATGCTGTCGGTTGTCAGTTCATGCCAAGACCGTGACTGGAGCAAGGAAGAAGGCGCCACAGAGTGAGTTCCATCGGCGACGGACCTGCAGACTGGCCTGCTGTTTCAAAGGCCCACTTTTGCAGAGTCCTCTCTCAGTCAAACGGCAGCAGGTTAGAGAGGACCAGGACAATGTTGGGTTCGGCGAGGAGCCAGGATTAGGAGACGGGAAACAGAAGTGGAGGACGCAGGCCGTGCAAACAGAGGCGCCTGTGGACAAGGTGGAGGAAAGGATCAGAGAAGGGAGAAAGCAGATGGATTGGGCGAAGGCTTGGTACCCGGCAGCAGTGGTGGAGGACCTGGACCCGAAAAAACCCAAGGGGATCATGGTGCTGGGGAAGCGACTCGTGTTGTGGAGGGACCAGGACAAGAAGTGAGTAATTGATGCCCCATTTGATAGTCCAACTTTTTGGGGTTTTATAACTTTCCAGTTTTTGAGGTGTTGGGGATTGAGCCAATGCTGCGGGAGGGGGCAGCATTGCGGAGTATCCTAAGTTGTATTGTGATAATCACGGGTATTTGGAACCATTCATTTGTGGAATTTTCATCAATTTGATGATTCTGACAGATTTAGAAGATTGATACAATCGATTTTGGCAGCAGGGAAAAACTCAGAAGGTTAGGTTTGACAAGAGCTGGCAGCTTCTATACCCTGAGCTCTCGCACTAGGAGGATTATTATTTAGCTGGTTATAGAAGTCCTCTGATCCTGTGTTTGGGCCCTCGATCAAATCAGTCGGTCAAAGGCTGAATTTGAGGCTTTTTGAGATCCAACTGTCCCCACTTTATGTTGGGAGCTCTTTCTCTCAGTCACCTGCCCTCAGACGGCAGATGTCCGTGCTGTTCTAAAGGCTGGCCCCCTCTGCCTTCGCACAGCCGATCAATGAACCTCTGAAGAATCAACATTGTGCTTTGCACGTTGAGTTGCTTCCCCCATCCTGTTGCGTTGACAAACATGATGGACAACCGTTTCTCAAGATTGTAAATGCTCTTTCCCTCCATCACAGCTGGCGCTGCCACCTCGACCGCTGCCCCCACCGTTTCGCCCCCCTCTCCGAGGGGCGGATTCACGAATCTGGGGGCCTGCAGTGCTCATATCACGGTTGGGTATTTGGCCCCCAGGGAAACTGCACTCTGATACCCCAGGCTGACGAAGACGAGCGGAAAGCGCTGGACTCCAAACTGGCATGCGCAGTGGCTCTTCCTATCAAGGTGAGATTCACGAGCCGGTGGATAATGGTGTAACGTGGCGGCACACAGCAGTTGTGGTCGAAGACTTCCGCTTTCAGGATTCCGACAAAGACAGTGACTCTCCTTGAACGAGGTTTGTAGGACTGTTGTGCGCAAACGCAAAAGCCGGTTAATCAAGCTGCATAATGAGCAGAAATGTGGTGGAACAGGGGCCGTTTGGATCCCACTGTCAGCATCGAAATCCAGGCTTCCACCCAGCAGACGGTGGCAGGCCTGGTCCTACTTTCATTGCAATCCTCCTCTGGGACGAGCATTGACTACGTTTGAGGCAAGATGGCCGAGAGCTTTTAGTCTCCAACCTTAGTGTACGCTGTTGAGTAGACAGGCCAAACACTACAGTTTGCGCTGACGTCTGAAGGTAGGCCTCTTTCTTTGGCCCTGCTTGTTGTGACTCTCTCTCCTGCCCTGGAAAGGGCCGGGACGCTCCCCAAAGCATTGCTTAGTAAGGACTCAGATTGGTATCGACCCTGTTGGGCTTTGAAATTGGGCTCCGAAAATGTGAGGATCCTTCTGGTTTCCTTGTGTGTAACCATTTCCCGCCCGACTCTGAATAAACCTTGGTCTGGCAGGAAGAGGTGGGCCTCCTCTGGGTGTGGCCCGACGAGCGCTCGGCATTGGAGGCCCTGGCCACTCCCCCGCGCATTGACAGCACTCTTTCCGACCCCGACTTTACGTACCAGTGGGTCTACCGGGAGCTCCCTTACAACTGGGACACTCTGGTAGAGAACGTGCTGGACCCCGCCCATGTGAACTTTGCGCACCATAAGGTGCAGGGGAAGCGCGAGAACGCGCTCCCGATTACGTTTGGCGTGGCGGAGCCGGAGGTTGGGGGGTTCACCGTTCCAGGTGAGAAACGCCGAGCTTGAGGAGGCTGGAAATGATGAGGCGTTAGCATCTCTGAGGGTCTAGGTTGATCCACCTTCTGTGGGGATGTTTCGGCGAAAGACATGCCAATCCTCTCCGCTGCGTCTTTCCGCTGCAGGCAGATTGACACCCCTTAATCAAGGTTGAAGCGAGCGAGCTCAGGATCCCGCGTCCGGGTTTCCTGCACAATTTGATTTCTGTGATGCGATACGGGTACGATCTATGGCGCTTTCGTAATTAGTTCGTTGCCTTCTCACCGCTCATCCTTCACCAGAACAAACTTGGAGCTTCTGAATCGAAACAGGCCCAGTCGAAGCTCTAGCAACCTTGAGCCTGACGCAATGTGTATCGCTTTCTGTCGGCCCAAAATTTCGTTTGCCACTTCCTTTTCCCGTTGATTTTTCACATCGCCCCATCTCGTGCTTGTGCTATCTTATGGAGTTGCGAAAAATGTGTGGCTATTCACTGCTGAAGAGATTGATTCTCCAAGTCAATCTCACCACCACCTATGCGTATAAAGCCAGACCCTTGTCTGCAAACCCGGCAATGATTGGCATCGTCCTGGTCCATGCAGTTGCGTGATCGTCGTTCGTCCACCAGTTCTCCTACTCCAACCAAAGCCCTTTTGGAAAGTCGTTTCACCAACAATTCGGAATGTGACTTCGTTTGAACCAACTTCCCGGTCCCCAGCATCCAGTTCATCGCCCCCGCTTCGACCATTAAGGCACCATCTCCAAACCGCTGCTCTCGGACGTTCGCACCTAACCACTTTTACCCTAACCCGAATGTTTGCTATAACCATCCTCTACCCGGAGCTAACCCCCTGCAAAGCATCTTCCGCAGGCATCGGCAAGATGGGCAACTTCCCGGTCCCCAGCATCCAGTCCGTCGCCCCCGCTTCTATCGCAAACCTTGTCACCATCTCTCAAACCGCTGCATCCAAATAAGTGCGTTCTAGCATGCTCGTCCGGACCCATATTCAGTTGACCATAACTTAAATTATTGCAAAACCCCCTTCCGCAGGCATCGGCAAAATGGGCAACTTTCCGGTCCCCAACATCAATTTCATCGCGCCCGCTTCCATTGTCTACCACTTCACCATCCCTAAAGAGAACGTTGCCAAGCCGTGGCAAGCTGCTCTCGTCAGCCTGGGGACGCCGATCGCGCCCGGAAAGGTCGCCATCTTTGCGTGCTTCCCCCGCAACTTCCTCAAGTTCGCTGCTCGGTTGACGCCCCGGTGGTTTGACCACGTGCGCACTCGGAACAAGGTAAGAGCCCCCCCGGGTTGCTTCAACTGACATGTGATTGCCTCCGGCATGCTGTGGGCTTGCTCCGTTAGAGAGGCCCGGAGTCCTTGACGGATGTCCTGAAACCCTAAAACCTGAAACCTCAAAACCCTAAAACATCAAAATCCTGAGTGGTCCCCAAGACCGGAGGCGGTCGCTCAATGCCTTCTTTCAGAGATACGGATGGGCCACCTCTGTTGCAGAAACTGAAATGATCCAACGGCTGTGGGTAGGCGCATGTCTATTCTGCTTTAGGAGCAACCCCGGTTCTTCTGCTCGAAAGTAGAGCGTTACTGTAAGCGAGGACCAGGAGAGAGTACTCTTGAAGCAGCTGTCTTGTCTGTGCTTATCAGTACTTTTGCAAGGCCCTTGCTGGGAAAGCGGGGTCCGTGCCCCCCGAATTCAACGAGAGGAGGCCAGCTATGTGACGGGAATGAATTCCCATCAAAGTCGGGCCTTACTTCAGCTGAAGGGCTTTCAAGCGAAGCCGATTGTTCCGAAAACGTACCCGTAAACGGACTCGAATCTGTATTGCGGCCCTTTTCTTTGCAGGTGCTCGACGGCGATCTAGTTCTCCTCCAAGGCCAGGAACTCCTCAGCCTACAGTCTTTCTCGGGCCCCGTTGACGACCAGCCCAGCACCTCAGCTGCGCCGGAAAGCGTCGACTCCCACCAGAACGGGGCCTCGACTTCGCACGGGTTCGCAGACCGCAAGTATTTCATGCCCACGAAGAGCGACCGGCCGATCGCTGCGTTTAGAAAGTGGGTGAAGGACTTTGGGAACGGGGGGCCGCGCTGGCCGGTGGGGTTCCGCACGGAACCGGATCCGCTGGGGGACCGGCCGGAAGTGATCATGGACCGGTTTACGCAGGTGAGGATGTTCCTAAGCAGCGTCACTTTTTGATTCGCCTTTGGTCATACCCGCTTTTTGTCCGGGGTTGCTTTCAAGTGCCGAAGTTCGCTTCAGGACAACAGGCGACCGTCGGGGGGGCCGCCCTGAGATGATCCAAGACAAATTGGGCGTCATGATGCAAAACACTTCGTGCAACTTATTTCCGGGTCTGCTCATCTTCTGGCTGACGAAGCCGTAAATCGGCATCTCCTTCTTATTTTGCCGTGCACCTTTCGCTTGACCCCTTCTTTCTTCGCTTTCTCCTCCCTTTGAACACTCTATACCCGCTTGGGAGCCTTTTGGTAGCGACGTGGACGATTGAACGCAAGACAGCGATTGTAAATCGAGTAGCTTGCCCGTCTTCGTTCTGCTCTGCTTTGTGTCGCCTCTTGTCTAGCATCTCCTCAAATCGTATGAGAAAGAGGTTGACTTCGTCTGTCAACGGCAGAAGACCGGGTCGAGGAGATGAGGCTCGTTCGGCACGACCGCGGGAGAGTTTTCTGTTTTGATATGCTGATTTGGACTTGGCGCGTGCGGGATTATCGAGAGGCACTCGAGTTTGGCTCACCAGACACATTGAGGGGCCACACACAGACGCAGCTGACGTGATCTCAGAGAGCGGTGTCCGAATCTGTGGTCCTGCTTGCACGGTGGCCATGAATTGCGGTAATACGCCTGTCCAGGCGGCGTTCTAGCATGCAACTTGTCGTATTGTCGCCGCGCACGGAGTCAACTGATAAGCTCTCTTTCCGTGAATTCTCTCCACATAGACGAGTAGAAACAATCTTGTTCGACAACATGTCAAACAAGCGGATAAGGCGCCGGTTCTCAAGTCCTTTGTTTGGATTATTGGAAACATGTCTTTTGGGACCCTTGAAAGTGTTGGGGAAGATTTTGGGGCGCTGCAGCCTGACGTCTTCGAGGAAACGTCGAACGACGGCAAAAACCCCCACTGCAGATCTGCGGCGGTGTCTGGCGCAGCAGACTCACATTACTAGATACATTTCCCTCGGATGCTGGCAAAACACCTCATTGCAAAGTCAGAAAAGTCATCTCGCTCCCGCTTTTCGTATTATCGTGACACCGTTCCTTTCCGTGCTGCAGCACACGCAGCACTGCTCCGCGTGCATGGGCGCGTACCGTAACGTTCAACGGCTCCAAAGCATCGCAAAGGTTGCCGTCGTTGCGTCGATCGCCGGCGCGGCGGCGTTCTCCGCCCGTGACGAGAGGCTTTCGCAAAGCCTCGCGGTTCTGGCAGTTGTGTTGACGGGTTCGATCGGGCTGCTCCAAAGAATGGAGCAGCAGTTTGTCTATGTTGGATACGACCACTCAGAAACATGAGGAGCGAATTGTTGACGAGAGAGACTTTGGTCGTGGGAAAGCTTTTGCTGCGACCTTGTTAGATAGAGGATCGGATAGAGTATCTCGATGTATGTAGTTCGACAGACGCTTTGGGTGGTTTGCATGAGCCTGCGCCTAGGAGGCTGCGGCTGAAATCGTTGAATAGCACGGTAGGGCGTGTTAAGATATACGGGTCTGCCAGTGCTTAGTCGGAACCTCGTCAGGATCCGTCAGACAGCTGAGCTTGAGCGCCTCTCAAGTGAATAGGTTGCTACGATACATCAGAACCTAAGCGTTACATGCACCGCTCAATGGCGTTCCAGGCTCATGCAGCCTGGCAGGCTCGATCATGGAATGTTTTCTGAGGTCTCATTCATTGAAGCCGGGTTGGGCCAGCGGGCCGTGCCCGAGCTGGCAGATATATATGTTCATAAGTTACAACCTGATATTATACAAATGTCTAGGCCGCGTCACAACACGAATTAATTTAGCTGAGCCATGCATGACGTGGTCACTGAACGTGCAACCTGGCCGCCGTCTTCGAATGATCAGGCTTTATTGATCAGTATGCGCCAGGCTGCGTACGGGCCCGCACAGACATGATTGCATGGCGCCGGTTACTAATCAGTAATGCGCGCACTGATGGCACGGGCATTTAAATATTGTTGAAAGCTACCCGTATGCCCAGTGTCGGAACGTATACGGCGCTGAATCAAGGACCGGCTGATCATGTGTCCCCCTATAGGCACTGATAAGTTACATAATTGGACTAGCTGATGTTAAAGGGTGGGGGACGCAAACAGAGATTGGCCCCATCATATATAGTGGCGGATATACAACGATCATTTCGGACACAGACGATACTTTCTGTACCGGTGAACTGGCCTTATCAAGTTTGTCCCTAGCCGCCACAATTGGACCGTACCATGAATCACACAGTTCAAGTTCGGGGAGAAACCGTCTAGAGTCGCCATCATTCCTCGTTACTAATGTGTGTGCCGTCTCGATCAAATCGTGAGCGGGGAACATTCTACCAGCCACTGTATGCGTCATAGCTTCAGTAAAAGGACAATCTGATTCGATCCATTTGACTCAAGCCTGCAAGAGACGAGTCAAAATAAAAGGAGACTGGTGACTCCAGGAGATTGATCAAAACAATCTTTTTCACGCACACTACGTGCTGGTCACGTGAACAGTTCGGCCATCTGCAAGTAACATGCGTTCCTGTGTCCTTGTGTCCGATGCAAGCGATGCGAGCGACAGATCGACTTCCGCTATTCGTATGCCCCCCAAGGGCGTCTTTTTCAACTTGAGTGGTTGCACGGAGTAGACGACCAGAAGACGGCAGCCGTCCTGTGCGGGCAAACGTACAGAGATCATCATCAGCAAGAAGCTCAAGGGGTAAGTTGTGGGCTGCCTTAGAAACTAAATCGTGACAAGAGTGCCCAAAGGGGCTACTGAGACCGAGGGGAGCGCCACGAGCATGGATTCTCCCGCTTTGCTGGTAACTTTGAGCTGAGTGTCTGCAACGAGACGTTTGGAGCGCAAGGCACCTTGTGGAAACAGGGTGACAGACGGGCCGCTTGAAAAGATGGAAAGAACGAGAGCAAAACGGAGAGGAAAACAGCTGCGCTTACCTGGAACAACGTGGGGTGCTGATAGTGGACGTGCTCGCCGAGCTCGTCGCCGCTCTCTACCACCGCAAACTGCGTAGCGTTGCATTTGACGTTAGCTTCACGAGCGGCCGAAACTTGAGGTCAACCCGAAGGGGCCCAGTGCGCAACGCCTTAAAAGTTACGCGGTTGCGAACTTGCGTTGCTTCTGATTCAAAATGTCGGTCAGGGTGCTCTTTTCCAGCCTCATCATGGTCATACCAAGTGGCTTTAGATGAAAAGAGAATTATCCTGCAAACCACTGGCAGCCGTAGCTGGTTGGGCGAGCAGCAATCTGGGTTACCGCCAGGTTAAATTGACACCTTAAAAGACCTGATGAAGAAGAAACCGGTTGGACCATGGAAGGGCGATTTTACCAGGCGGCACGCCCCTGTTGAGGGGAAAGTGACTGCCCCGGGAATTGAACTCTTCCTGACGCAAGAACTATTTCAATCTTCTTGAGGTTTGAAAGGGCCAATTAATTGATACCAAGTGCCGATCACGGAGCCTGTTGGCGAGGCAAAGGAACGGCTGTGCTCCTACTTCCACCCCCATATCAATTGTACCACGTGGAATCTGGTCAGATCTTGCGGGGATCCTACTCGGTGCTTCTTCTCACCAGACCCTCACTGAAATTACACGGCTCAAAAGACAAATTGCAGCGGCTACCGATTGCCGTTGCTTGACGGTGTCATGCCGCATGTGAGACTTAGTGTCCGTGACGAGAAAGGCCAGAGCCTTTGACTTAGTGTCCGTGACGAGAAAAGCCAATCCAAGTCTGCGATGCATCGATAATTGCAATAAAACAAGAGAGAAGTCAAGCAGATGACGGCTATGAAAGATGCCGCTTCATACATCCAGCAGTTCAAGAGGCAACGCAGGGGAAGGTCACCGGCTGATCGGTTCTGTGGAAGAAGGAAATGACAGAACCTAGCACAATTCTCAGGAGACTGACCTGCTCCCACTTCTTGCCGTACTGCCGCATGAGGGCGACGTGCAAATTTGTCCGGTTCCCTGTGCCAGAACCGACGCATGGTCAGAGGGCATTGGAAAATAGTACAGATCGTTTGCATGTAGCTGACGCTTACTCTGTAACAACAGGACCAGGACCTAAAGAAACTGGACGTTTTCGGGAAGAAACTTTCGAACCCCTTCTTACTCTCTCTAGGATGAGAGCAAGGCGTAGAGCACGCTTCATGCACAGGACTGGCGCTCGTTTTTGCTACGGTTTGACCACGCAATGGCGACACTTGATGCATTCTCAGTCGATACCGCTTGGCCGAGTGAACAAAGGGCTCACCGGGATTTGAGGCGTTGTTAAGCGCCACAGCCAAAGCGCCGCTGCTGAGCGCCAGCAGATTCGCCTTGCTGCACAGCCAAGGCGAAATTTGATTACTGTCTCGTGCTGGGTTTGCGCAAGGTGTTCAGCTTTTGAGCTTTCTCCATGAACTACTCCCACAAAAGATTGCACTCCCCTCGCTTTCGGGACGTTACCTCTACTCGGATCCAGAGCAGATTTGCCTGCAAGTATTCCACCAGATGGATAGATCCAGTGCACTTTGAAGAGGCTCACACGAGAACTTTTCCGGTTCTCTGTTTGTTGGGCGTGAGCGTTTTGAACGCCACTCCCTCTCCATTTCCATCTACAGTCTGTTCTCTATTTTCGTTTTCTTTAACTGTGCGGCAGCAGCTTACCTGCCCGGATTAGAGAGCCCGGTCGGTTGCACCGACCCCCACGTGTGGCCCCCGTCCTCGCTCCGACTCTCCACCAACTCGCCTGCGCAAGATGAAGAATGTTGGGTCGTTTTCAAAGAATTCAAAAATGCCGTTGCTTTCGTTTCGAGACAGCCCGTTCCACACCCCCAGAATCGAAAAGAACGGACGCTTGAACCCCTAGGCTGTGATAGGCAAAACGCGTTAACAATTCCAGTCCTCAACGAGCGCAGAAGATGCAGGTCGGACCTGCCCGTATCTAGCAACCAGCCCATGTGCCAGTACGACTCAAAGCGGGATAAAGAGGCGAAGTCTACCATCAAACTCTCAGAACCAAGAACGACGCTCACCCATGGACGTCCCAAAGTACTGCACGAGGGTCTTGCCCTCCAGCCGCGCCACGCTGCCCTCACGCATGTACTCCCCATCTTTCTGCAATCAAGGCATGTACATAAAGGTGAGCCGAGGAATTTTTGCCCTTACTGGCATAACAGGTGACAAAACGGTGACGCGTTTTCGGTCGTCATACTATTGGTCGCAACCTTAATCGGTATGACCAATGGCGTGACTAACCCCCTTTTCCTTCTTGCAGACTCTCCACCTTGGGCATCTAAAGAAGCAACCCTGAACCTGCTACTCAACCCGATCCGCAGAGTTCCTAGGGAGAGGCCGTTCTGGTTGCCTCGCTTCGAGGTTCGCTGTTTCTGCGGGGAATTTTCCTAAACGCCTTTCCCCAACCAACGTGTTGCACGCTGTCAAGCGTTTCGTATTTTTCGCAAAGACAATTCAAGGCGTTCCAGAAGAGAGAGAGTGCAGTAAAAAGGTCACCCCGACAAGCCCACCCCGACACATTTTATTGTACGGTTTCACGACGTTTGGTCTCTGTCCGGCACGAGCACTCCCCCGTGTGCCATCATCACAACGTCAGAGCCACTTCCATTTTCGATGAATCTCCGGTCGTTGCGCACTTTGTAATACTTGGACAGGACGGAAAAAAGACAGAAAGCTCACCCCGACGATATACCCGTACGGGTGCCACGACGTCCCGTTAGTATCCGACACGAGCACTCCCCCGTGCTCCGGCATAACGGAGTCGCTCCCACACGCGTCTTCCGAGCTCGCCTCGAGGGGCCGCTGCCCCCAAAATGGGAGCACCCACTCGCCCGCCGTAGTGATCGTCAGCTGGCCGGCTATCATCTGTTAAAACAGCGTCGGTTGTCAATCAGACTGATTGAGTGAAAAGGTCGGGAAGTTGGGGGCTTCGAACGAAGCAGAGACTTGTAAAAGGCGGAGGAACAAGGTGGCCGGATTGACCCCAAAAGGGAGCCCTCACTCCGGAAAAGCTGTGGATCGTGGGTGTTTCGCCCTTCTTTCCAGCATAACCTGAGCATTTTCTCTGCGGGATTGGCAAGCGGGTGCTTCTGACGCTCATTTATTTCCTGGTTTTTCAGGTCTTTTCAGGTTTGTTTGATGACGCAGACACCCCACTAGAAAAGCCCCCCCCCCCCTAGAACATATACCTCGTGGTTGTTGCGAGGTGAACCCACCTCTCGCTTTCTAGTCGAGTAACGAGCTAGGTTGAATAGACTGTTAATTTCCATGGTCAACGCGATCAATCTGGTGAAGTTTTCGAACGATAAAATCTGCCTTGCGATATTCAATGCAACGCAGACAGGAAAGGCAGAGAAAAGCGCACCCACCCGCGGGATGTTTCCAAACTCTTTCTGTGGGAGGACGGTCTCCGGCTCGGACCAGGTAAGACCGTCCTCCGACCGGACGTACGAAATGTCGCCCCCAGGGGACCACGGGCTCTCGCAATCGTCGCACCTGCAGGGAAACAATCCTATCGTCAGAACGGTAAGGCCGAAGAACGACGTTTTGCAAACAAAGACGACTGGGAGTATCGCCAAGACGTTAAAGAGACGGGGCTTTTGACCATGCTCCAACTCACCGCAACACCATGGAGGCAACTGATTCGGTTCGAACTGCATCGGCTGTATCGGCTGATGCGGTTCTGTTCGTTGCTCGTCGGAAACGTTGTGACCAGTCTTGTTCCCGGGCAATCGCCAAAGTAAGTGCCAACATATTCCCCAATCCTGGTTCTGGAAGTTTTCATCAACAAGAATGACATTGACTGCTGTTCGAGGCGGATGTGCAAGATTGGAATTATTAACCTGCGCTCCCACACGGCGGACGGCATAAAGACGGTCGGTGTTCCGATGCGAATCAAAACGAAGGCGGTCTTGATTCATCCAGTCGCTCGCGTCCCCAGAGACTCTTGCCGCTGGTGAGGAGAATTCGGCTATCCGAAGCAGTGCTCACTTTTGCAGCTGTTTGCAGGAGACGCTCTCCGTGTAGAACAACCACAGGACGTCCGTCTGGGGATCCAGGTGAAGCACCGGACTCCACACACACCTGCAAAGGCACGGTGTGAATAAGCCCCGGTAGAAAGAACCCACAAAAATGGTGTGGGCGAACCAACGGTGCTGATAAGCTGTAGGGCAAGGAAGCAAGCCCGATGCGGATGTCTCCTGGAGTGCGGGAGCCGCACGCGGCCGGGAAGGGCTTGTGCAAAAATGATAGCGCAAAGCGTCGAACAAAGGGTCTTGTGCGGAAGGGCTGTCGCAAAACGATTGCAGAATGGGCATCGATTGACGTGCGGCGGCTCCTTAAGCAATGGACAAACCCGGCCCCTCCAACAGCGACCACCAATCTCTCGACCTTTGTGAATGGGCCATGTGCCATCACGCCCTGGTTCAAAATCCAACGGACATGAGCAAGACCCCATCTGTTGAGGTCCTTCCAACTACCCATCAGCAGGCACCCTCTGACATTTCCTGCTACTTTTGCTATCTTCTGATAAGCCCACGTGATTATGATGGCCCGCGCCTTCTCGAAACGGCCACGTTCAGGCTTAGGCAGTTTTTAAACGAACCTTTCGGGCTTAGAAGGTTCGCAAACCCAGACTTAGAAGGTTCGCAAACCCAGACGCCACACCCGCAAGCAAACTGGCAACGAACAAGAGAGGTGAGCACTTACCCCGACGAGGACTTTAGCGGCAGGTACAGCGAGTTGGTCCACTCGCGGGCGTCCTCGGAGAAGGCGCACCGCAGGTGCTGGTCGCCGAAGCCCTCCTTGCCCTTGGACGCCTGCCACACTGCGGACGGGCACAGGGATAATCGTCAGGAATAGTTGGTGTTCGTGGCGAGCGGGGGGATTGAGGTGTCCCTTGCCAAAGTAGGGTTTTGATCGAAAGCTTGAACGCTGCCTGAGTTGGACGGAGTTGGGCGGGTACGACCCCTGTGACTGAACTATTGGTGTACCTGTACGTGGGCTAGGAGCTCGCGCGCTTGCCATCAAGGACTCTCAGAATGGAAGGATGGAGAACGTGGACTCCCGAGCGAACGTAAGAGACCCCTCCTAACTATAACCCCAGGGATCCAGGGTCTAGTTTGATCAGATGTCTTAACTTTGACCGTCGATCGAAGGGGTCATAAAGGAAGGGGGTTCAAAGGGAATCCGCCGGGAGTCCCTGTTCTCCTCCCCTTCCGTTCTCTCAAGCCAAGGGCGGCGATAGGTTCCGGTTGAGCACCCCTTTCGTGAATCGTGATGCTCACAGCGCCGGCATGAGACTGTAGGATGTTGCCTTCTTCGGGAGTAGGGCGAAGCTACTCCATCCGAAGAGAAGAAAAGACGGGCTGCAAACGTCACTAAATTTCTGACGGAATGTCCTCTTCAAATACCATTGGACAAGCATCAGCGTAGAGCAAATTCCGTGCATCTTGCTTGCTTCGAACGGGGAAGAAGCGACAGCCGGGTCAAAGAATGGACGTCACAAAGTTAAAAAACTCAACTCCGAAAGGGCTTGCAGATGAGAGGGTCTGACCTGCTATCCACCGCCATGGCGAAATGTGCGGCAGGCGGGAGATCGTCGGCCGCAGGTTATGCAGGATGCCGTCCTTCGGTTGGAAGACCCACCGCCGAGGAGGCGCCCACTGCACCGCGAACTTGGTGCTCGGAGGAGCGACGTGATTGCAACCATCGCCCGGACTGCAAAGAAAAAAGGACTTAGCCCACGTTTGCTGGTGGTGAATTTGATTACAGGGCTGACCATTTTCCCGAAGGGGAGGCCTGCTTGGGAGAGACGACTGCTCTTTGTTTCTTGGTCGGCACCCGCACGAGCAGATGCACTTTTCCAGAACGGCAAGAAGGGGCAATTGGATCGAGTCGGGCAGCGATAACTGGGTCGGAGCGTGCTATTGTCAGGCTTGTGGATGCAGCCAGCGTGACGGCCTCCGTTCATTTTATGAGATGACGGTTTGAAAATATGGTGAGCGGACTTGGTCCTCCAAGCGCAGACAAATCAAGCCTGGCAACGAATTGCTGCTTGCGTTTAAAAGAGCACCCTTACAATGACTACATTCTGTGACGGGATGTGATTGCAGCATCAAACATAGATAGCAGGAAGTGGACAACGCTTTGGTGAGGGTTTCGGCACATGCGGAGGCTCTGAACCGCACATGCACATCCTATGCCCACCTTCCCGGATAAACCTGCTCTTGATACGAGTAAACGAACCGCAACGAACCTGACAATCCCCGCTCGGGGCATCCTCGCCAGCTGGTCAATCTGGAGCTCTTCCTCCGCTTCCGAGATCACCTCCAGAGCTTGCCCCCCAACTTCTCGCAGGCCCGCGCCGACTTCTTTCCTCGCCCCCTCCGGCAGAAACCCCCTCGGGTCTAGTTTCTCCCCCGTCTTTTCCGCCTCCACCCATTTCGTGTTTGCCGACCACGCCTGTCCTCCAACCGCCTCCAGCAACAGATCGCGCGCCACGCCAAGCCGCCCCTCTAGTTGGTTGATCTCCCCCTGTGCGACTCGCACGTGCGCCGAGCACATGAGCAGCTCGTGAGCCGCGTCTTCGCTCGCCCCTCCAACTAAATTGGTGGGATTTTTGTTGGCCTGCAGGAGTGCGGCCTTCCCGACTTGTTGCATACGCGTCATTTCGCGCTCGAGGCGGTTGGCGGTGGCGAGCGCCCGCTCAAGCTCCTGCCGTTGCAACTCCGCATCTTCTTCCAGGGTCACCTGCAAATGGGGGAAGTGAAGATAGTCTAAATCTTGACTAAAGTCTGATTACCCTTTGACTAGAAGATTGACTAGAGCGGTTTGACATTAACTGCGATAACGAGCAAGATCCTGTGTCACAGTAGATGCCCGAAATCTGTGGAGAGTACGGGGAGGATTCATGAATGTTGCTCTTCTGCTGTTGCGCCTCTTCGTCTGCCTCCAGAATCCTTTGCAAAACATGGGGGGCGAGGAGAAGGCAACTGCATTTCTCACATGGATGCATGGGGGAAGAAAAAGTGTGGAACAAAAGACAGCATTTTGCAAGATGAGCGCCTGTCACTGCAGTTCCTTTGTAAGGGTCACTCGATTAGGGGAGGAGGGGTTGGGGTTTCAAATCAACCAGACACAGATTTTAAAGAGTAAGTCAGAGGTTAATATCACGGGCTCCAGGTGCACAGGGCAAAACCCGCTTCAAAATGAAGCTGCGTCAGGAAACTGTCTGAAAGGGGAGTCGCTTTGTGCACAAGGCACACGACGTACGGCGTGGCAAGGACGACTGCATTGGGGGATCCCTTTGGAAGAAACTTCACAAGTACAGTGCAGCCCGCCTAAATGCCACATTGGCACTCGGTGAGAAGCAAAGTCTTGACAGCGATCAGCAGAAGTCAACAGGAACACGTTGTCAACGGCTTCTCATACACGGCTGCTACTGCCCAGTGCAGCAAACACCAACTTCGGAAGGCGCTGCAACTTCCGAATGATACTCAGCCAATATTCACAGCATTCTAGACCAGTTCCACTACAAACATAACAACCTGATAATGTGTGACCTTCCTCGTCCGCAACTACATCAAAAGGAAGCACCATCTACCGCATAGAGTTGCAAGGTTGTGAGGGCGCCCTGCTCACCAGCCGTTTCCGCGCCTGCAGCACGGCCACCCGCGCCTCCGCTCTAGTTGCGAGCACGTCCGCCAGCTCCTCCTCCTTCAGCGTGAGCCGGTGCACGGCGTCAATCCGCTGGTCTACCGCGTCATAGAAGCGCACAAGCGTGAAACTTAAAACCAACGCGGCCAGAAAAAGCGGAAGCGAGGTGAGGCAGCTCGTCGAGTGGGGGTTGAAGCAGTCCCGCACGCCGCGCACAACACTAGCACGGAAGCCCTTGGCACCGGGCCGCTTTCCAGCCTTGGGCGAGGACTGGGGCCCGAAACGGTGTCGGGGGGAGGCGACGGAGCCCTCTAACCCCAGCACCATGGCGGCCGCTCGCGAAAGTGGTTTGCAACTAGAGATGCGTGTACGACATGTTTGTGTACAATGCGGTTATGCTCTCAAAATCTGCCTCCCAAAGCACCGTGTCAGAGCTGAGGGCTAAGCAAAGAGCGAGCGTCTTATGTGCGAGAAAGTGCCTAAGTTGACTTGATGTTGATCAGTGTGCTGAAGGAGACGAATCAGACAGAGGTTGACCAAAACATGGGTGTCAACAGCACCGTACGTAGCGCTCCTGGACTTACTGCAGAAAGGCAATGTAGGTTACAAGGAAGCCAGAGCTAACATCCTTGATCACCGAACCCGGAAAACATCTGCATGGAGCTTTGAAAACACGAATCAAAACCACTCTCTTGCTTGGTCTTGTAGCAGCGGCCTTTCAAAAGCTTTTCCGCGGACCAAAGCCAAAGGCTTGTCAATGTTCAAGACGAAATGCACGCCCATCCTCTTCAAGTTCAACTTGCACATTTGCTTTTCTCCCGCTTTTCTTGTCCTGAACTCCTGACTCCTGACTCCTGACTCCTGAGCCTGAGGCTGCAGGATCTGGACTTTGATGTCAGGCTAAACCATTACCGTGGTGAGGTGTCAGTGACGGTCCTCTTAACGACGGCTCAGTCTGGCAAGACGCTTGCGGGGTTTCATGGATTGCAGGATCTCAGCGTTCGACACGGAGTTTTGATTTCGTCGGGACTAGGCTCCCAGGCTGACTGTTCCGCGGTCAGCCGGCTGGACCTCTGAACCGGTCGGCTTGTGTCAGCCAAACACCTAGATTCTGCCTCGAGTAATTTGTCGGCATTTAGGCCGACGCCCCTCGGTTGAGTCGGCCGGGTGGCAATCCCGTCGGCTGACGTTAGCCTGGTGTGACGGCTCGTGTCGAACACCGTTGCAGATCAGAGCCGACCAAAGCTCCGACAACGGTAGGAGCGCGTCGCTTAACGGCACCGTCTTTCAAGCCGACACTGTGTGATGTCGACACTGAATGAGCGCGCGCGTATCTGGGCCCTCTTATGACGTCGGCGTCATTGCATCTCACGACCCACGAGTACCATCAATGTGTACCGTCGGTACCTACCTACCTGCTCTTCTGAAAAGAGCTCTTCATATTGGATATTGGCTCGGGATATGACTGGATATTACCTGCCTATTAGTGGGTGTGCTTCAGGAATATATTATATGCGGCATTTTAGGGCTTAAAGAGAGATGCCCGATGTAGCATATCCGTGTAAATACTTGTAGCTTCGTCCAGCTTGTATGCAGAAAATCTCCAAACATAATCGGGAACTTTAGCGCAAGCTGTACTTGCCAGTACAGCGCAAACTTCGTACGTCAATAGAAGGCGTGACGTGAAGATGACACCGTACGGTCATGGTCACTCCCTTCAGAAACTTCCGAGAGGGACGAAGGAACCGCTGAGGTCCGGGAGCGCTGTGCTGCCGTGCAGCTGGAAATGCGCAGGAGCCTCGAGCTCTCCATCTGGCATGTTCTGAGCTCTCTTGAAAATTGGCCCAGGTTTGTGTCTTGATCATCTCAGCTGCTTCCGGGGTCCCGTCGACGAAGGCAATGCGCGTAGAAGCTGTTTCGCGCCTGGGGATCCATTTCGTGTATGATGTTCGGGGGATTCTGAGAAAGCAATCGAAGGTGAGGCTTATTTGGTGAGATCTGTGGGCGCAAGGACCAGCTCTTCTTTGGTTTTCTGTTGAGTTGTTTCTTGTGTTCGCGTCTGCTTTGCATCAACATGTTTTGATCATGCGCCGGTGTTTATTGAAATCTGCCGGCAAATGTTTCCAGCTCTGGCACCTCCTATTGATCAACAATCGGCATATTGATAACCCGACCCATCGATTAGAAACTACCACTGCGCAATTTGTGGAGGATGGAAAGTTGAATGTCAAGCGTCTGTATTGAGACCATCTTGCGTCTCTTCATGGACTTTGCGGCTCTGCTTTTTGATCTGGCTACCTAGCATGAACACCTGGCCATTGGCCCATGGCTACTGCAAGTCAACCAAGCCCAGGATGCACATGATCAACCGGCATCTTGGAAACTGTTAGCTCCCGTTGCTTCATCAAGATGACGTCATTCTGGGATACATGGTCACTTTGCTGGGGTTGGCCTTCGATCTGCACAAGATCAGAAGGGCAGGTTTTAGTAGTCATAAGGCGCTGCCATTTTGAAGCAGTGCCACTTACTGTCAGCTTGCTTTTCATTTTGTCGGGGTACTGCATAAGATTTGAAGGACACAGATGTTATTGATGCGGGCATCCTGCTGGTGGCTCGTCAGCATTGTGCAGAATGCTGATGTCTTCAATACAGGGCTCTAGTTGTTTTCTTGCTGGCTTGCGCCTCTCGCTTGTGCTTAATCCTCGGTGTATTTATCTCGATGTCTTTGACAACTATACAGTTCTATTGTGAGGCGTTTGGTCAATACGGTTGTGTTTTTCTTTTAAAAAAAAGACTAAATAATCCCTTCGATATGGTGCCTTCATTTTCAAAGAGGATCAAAAATGACCACCACTTCAGAAGAATGTTCAATTGCCCTTTGCTGCGCATGGCATTCTGGAATTCAGCACCATGTCACATTTGACATCATGCTTAGAACAGCTGCAAATGTTAGACTAGGGAATCTGCCCTCTAAAACAGGACATTCAGCTATTGGTGCTGAACATTGCCTTTTGGCCTGGATGATCCTTGCACAATTGGATGAGAGTCAAGGACAGTTGCTGTTCTCCAACAGAAAGGACTAGAGTCTGCGTTGCCTTAGTGTGCGATGTTGGTGTTTCTGGAGAGCATTCGCACTCCAAGACCAATAAGGTCCATCGACTGTTCCTATCCAGCTGCGGATGGGACATGACGACTGCAACATTGTGGCCGAGCAGCCTGAGAAGATTTGCATTGACCGCTTGTCTAGCTTTTTAAGCTCTGGTTGCAGCATTACATGCTACCTTTAGCCCCTCGCAGGCTTTGAATTCTTGCCATGGTTTTACACCAATCAGGAGGAACCGAGCATAGAACACTGAACTCCTTGCATTTCAATACTGCCACTTTCAATCTTGCAGCAAAGACTTAGCTGCATTGGTGGCTGCATTGTGAAGAAACCCATGAGGGTTCCCCCTCATAATTGCACCTCGGTTGAAATCATTCTTAGCTTCAAGCAATGCGCTTGAGGCTCTTGAAGTCTCAGCTAGTGCATCAATCAGAAACCCTCTACACATTACAGCCTCCACTCCACATTGTGACTGTGACGTCCTATGATTGTAGAGAGCGTAAAGAAGGACTATATCACAATCTTCAAAAAGTTTCCTTCCACGCTTTTGCAGGGAAACAGGAGGGCAGTCATAAGGTCTGGCGTGTAGCACATTGGAGGGGCTTAGGCTGGCACTTGTAGAAGGAAGGCTGTGATCGAGGCTTTTGCTTAGGGGGCTTTTGTTGGCTTAGAATCATGTAACCGCTTGAAGCAACGGGTAGGGAGAGAATGTGCTAGTTCTTGCCGGCGACACACTTGATTGCCAGGGCAAGAGCATTTAGAAATTGAGTCGACTACTGAAGGTAGCTGGCTTTAGACAGCTTCAAGCGCAGGCTTCGGGAGACTTGCGAGCAGCCAGGGGAGTATGAGCATGATCAACGCTGAGGCGGTCGTCGAAAACCTAGCTAGAAAGCACCTTGAGTAACTAGAGCGGCCAGTTCTCCCCCCATCATGGGGCCCCACCCGACGCTCTCCGGGCTCAAGCGCTTTGCGCTCCGTCAGAAGCCCGTGGACGGGACTACGCGCACGGTGCACTGCGGCGCCCCCGAGCGGAACCTTAAAAAGGGCTTCGCCAAGAATGCAATCCACACCACCAAGTACAACTTTCTAACCTTCCTCCCGAAAGGCCTCTTCGAGCAGTTTCGGCGTGTGGCGAACATCTACTTTCTCTTCCACGCGTGCCTCTCCCTAACCCCAATCACCCCGGTTAACCCCATAACCACGATCCTGCCCCTGTGCTTTGTCATCGGCGTGGCGATGATCAAGGAGGGGATTGAGGATCTCAAGCGCGGCCGGTCGGATAAAAAGCTGAATGGGACGATGGTCGACGTGGTTCTCGGCCCGGGGAAAGTGGAGCCCCGCCGGTGGCGAGACGTGCGAGTCGGGGACATAGTTCTAGTAAAGCGCGACACATCTTTCCCGGGCGATCTGGTATTCTTGGGCTCGAGCGATCCGGAGGGCGTTGGCTTCGTAGAGACGATGAATCTGGACGGAGAAACGAATCTCAAGGTGCGAAACGCGGTGGAAGCGACACGGGAGCTGTACCCCGACGGGTTTGTAACATTCGACGGGACGGTTGAGTGCGAGCAGCCTAACCCGTCGCTGTACACGTTTGCGGGAAACCTAACCTGGCGGGGCGAGGTGATCCCCCTGGGGCCCGAGAACGTTCTCCTGAGGGGGAGCGATCTGCGGAACACCGGGGAGGTCTACGGGGCGGTGATCTTCACCGGGCACGATACCAAGGTCATGATGAATGCGACGGCGCCGCCCTCTAAGCGGAGCTTCATTGAGAAGCGGCTGGATTACATCATCCTGGGGCAGCTCGCACTGCTAATCGCGATGTCGACATTGACGGCGGTGTGGTTCAGTGTGCGCCTGGGTGACGACATGGAAGACCAGTGGTGAGGCAGTCACCCTCATCTCGTTCCTGGCCCTTTCCCCACTTGGGGTCGACTTTCTTTCTAACACACGGTGGACAGTGTCTGGCTAACTCAGTGATAAGGAATAGCAGGGGGCTGTATGTTGGGTTTGTTCGTTTCTGGGCACTTGAGCACAAAGTATGTGGGTGTTCTAGACTCTTGGTCAATGGAGAATATCAAATCATGGAAACGAATAAGGCCGGGTTGCGTCAAATGAGGTACCTGAATTTGTGGAACCTCTTTGATGGCTCGACGTGAGTACCATATGTCTAGCGAAGGTATCCTGTGGCCAGTCATCTGTTCTACTGAGTGCGCACACTGAGCATTGATGATTGGTGACACCAAGCCCTTACAAGATGAGATATCAGTCGCGATGCGGTTGTAGCTGGTGCCGTGCCGGTGCCGTGTTCATAAGTGAATCCTTGCCTAAGTACATTTGATCAATGTTCCCTCCAAAGCGTGTATTGACCTAAGCTTGAATAAGGAAGGTGTGCCATTTTAAAATCCCTGTGACAAGAACGAGTTCCTTTTCTTATTTGTTACTGCACGCGCGAACTCAGGAAATGCTTAACCACATAAAGAGGGGAACCCTGAGAGAGGGCGGCAAGGCAAACTTCATGGCGAATGACCCGTCAATTTGATCCACGATGAGAACTGAGGAGATCATACATCATCTCTCCAAAGCGTATACTCGCGGCCTACGGGGATCGAATTCAACTTAAACTGATGTTGTATGCGGCAGGTACCTGCGGCCCGACGACACTACCGGCACCAACTCAATCGCATCGGCGCAGTTCAACTGGCGCAAGCCCGCAATGGCTGGCTTCCTCCAGTTCTTCACAGCTCTCGTTCTGTATGGTGAGTTGCGCCACGTTGCTTCGAAACCTCAGAATTTGAGCTGACCGCTTCTTGGTGAGCTCTTCACTCTCTCGTACCCAGTCCTGGAACACGCCTGTACTTGTTGGCGTCTGCTAAGTGCGTATCGTTTCTTGGACGTGGTCGTTTAAAGCGTTCTTGGTGGTTGAAAGGATCGCTGATGGCTGTCTAGGCGAAGACGTGAACCAATCTAGGAGACAAGGAATTAAGGATGTTACAGGACGCGCTGTTTCGCAATGGTGAAGTTTGCACCCGTCATTATGTGCAAGCGAATCCTCCAGGACGTTAGTCCATTCTAGTTGGCCCATACCACACAACAGGAAGAAATCGTCTGACTCGCAGTGGGGTCCGGAACATGAGGGCGACATGGCGTCACCTTTTCCCCCAGGTTATCTCGTGACCATCTCGCTCTGAGTATTCATTGGGGTTATGCACATCATCCAGGCTCGCTGACCGCACTCCAATTGTCTCACACTGCTGAGAGGCTTGCTTACAGATGATGCCTGCCCCTGACCCGCCATCTGACTCCATACTAACGGAAAAAGAAGAGTCTAGGGCAAGCAGTTGATTATCCATTTGACAAATACCAACCAACTTCTTCCAGGTTACTTCGTGCCCATCTCGTTGTACGTGTCCATCGAGATCACGCGCGTCATCCAGGCGGCGTTCATCAACCACGACGTGCGGATCTACCATGAAGAATCCAATAAGCCGACGCGGGCGCGCACCTCCAACCTGAACGAGGAACTAGGCATGGTAAGGTTGGAACAACGCTCTCGGAAACGTTTCGGGAAAGTGCGTCCGGACGGCCGAGTCTCGTGGACATTTCAGCTCCCGTTTGCTCAGCGTGGAAAAGTTTTCCAGACCGGACGATGGCTTCAGAGAGCTACGGTGAATCCTGACCACCCTGATACCACTATTTGCAAAGCAGGTGTTGATCAGAGCCAAGCGGGGATTGCAGCAGCTTGAGAGGAAGTGGGTCGGTTGCCAACACAGTAGGTGACCTAAAAGACGGAAGACTCTCACAGTGTGGGTTCGATTTACTTCTACTCGAAACTGCCATCTCTTGCTTAAAAGCTTCTGCCCTCTCTTGCACATACCAACTATTCTTTTTCATCGAGATTGGCAGGCTCACCGCCAACCAGGTGGATTTCGAACGCGGCATCCCACAAAGAGGGTTTGCTCTCTACCGGCCTGATCATTCACAAAAGCAGTCGCACCCCAAGCCCGCAAGTCCAGACGGCAATACTACCGTTATCTCAACCTACTTTTCCAACCTCGCTAAACAGATTGACACCATTCTCTCCAACAAGATCGGCCCGCTCACATGCAACCAGATGGGACTCTATCAAGTGCCCCATCGCGGGCCTCTAGCTGACCGGCCAACCTTTTCTTGCCACACAGATCCAAACCATCCTGTCCGACAAGACCGGCACGCTCACCCGCAACCAGATGGACTTCTTCAAGTGCTCCGTCGCGGGCGTCTCGTACGGCAAGGGCATCACGGAGGTCGAGCGCGCCGCCGCGGACCTGCTCGGACGGTCCGTGTCCAAAAAGGACATCGACGAGCCGCCGGACATGCCGCTGGAAAAAGGGTTTAACCTGCGGGACGCGCGGTTAACCCAGGGTTGGTACCGGGAGGAACGGGCGGAGGTTGTGCGGCGATTCATGGAAGTACTGGCGGTGTGTCACACGGTGATCCCGGAAGGGGACCCGGATCCGGCCAGGATCAAGTAAGGAGGCTTGCGTATTTTGGAGAATGCTTTCTCTTTTTTGTAAGGCCGTTCTTGCTTCAGCCGACGTCCTCTGAACCGTATCTATCGTTGTTCAGTGATGGGCGGTGTGCCACACGGTGATTTCGGAGGGGAACCCTGACCCGGCCGCAATCAAGTGAGGGTTTTCACTGTTTTTAATTCGTAGGTACGACGGTGTTAAGCCGCGCAAGACTTTACCGTGACGCAAGCCTAGTCCGTGGAGTAACTCAAGTTACTTTGCTCCCTGGTGGGCCGGCCGGGTTTGTTCCATTCAGCCGTTCGGCCATGCTTGCCCCATCCAACGTCCTCTGAATCGGTTTATCGTTGTCATTGATGGGCGGTGTGCCACACGGTGGTACCGGAGGGGGACCCCAATTTGACCAGGATCAAGTGAGGGGGTTTGCAGTTTTTTGAAAGAATTTAACTTGTTCGGATGGGCCATGCCTACATCGTCCGGCCTCCCTATCTTGCAACATTTCTTGTTACGGCTTCTCTTCCACACCTGATTATGGGGTTGTTTTCGCAACCAAGAGACTTCTTCTGTTCGTTTACTGCCAGTCTCTGGTCTTCCTTGACCGTCGAACTTGCTTTGGGCAGGCGAGCTCCTTGCAGTGAAGCCTGCCACAACAGGGGAACTGCATTCCCGCAAGTACATGGCAGAGTCTCAGCATGAAGCTCCTTTTGCCACAGCCGCCAGTTTCTGTGCTAAGTTTGCAAAGTATCTTTTCGTAGCCGAGCTGCTTGCAGTAGAGCCTGCTTTGAATCAGAAGGCGCATTCCCCCAGGTACATGGCGGAGTCGCCGGACGAGGCCGCGTTCGTGACGGCCGCCAAGCACTTCGGCTTCTTCTTCCACAAGCGCACGGGATCGGGGCAAACCGGATTTCTCTACCTGACGGAGTCCCTGCCGGACGGTAAAAGCCGCCAGCTCAAATACGAGCTGCTGAACATCCTGGAGTTCAGCAGCAAAAGGTGGGCGGCTCGGACGAGGGACGGACGTATCGCACTTGTTGTGGGCCTTCGGATTTGGGGTTTAGCGTTTTCCTTCGCTTGGCCATCGACTTCGGTCCTTTGTTCGGACGAGAAAAGAGTAGTGCTTGCTGCGCTAATCTACGCATGATTGCGGACCAGGCAAACGACGTGTTGACGGATTGAACGTGAAGTCATCGGACGGTTGTCTTCAGTTTGTCTCGCCTTTCCAGAGCTTGTCATCTGAGTGACCCTGTTGAGGAGCTGTAGACACTGCATCGCACATACGCCAGGGACGAATATTTGGGGGAAATTTGGGGAAATGGTCGACAGGATGGCCCTTTTCTGTCCTGTGCTCAACCGGGTCCAGCTGCAACACCTGCCTAAAGGTTCCCTCTGTCTGCTGACCAAGAAACTGACGTGGTCTTGTTTGTTGCACCCAGCGAATCATACTCTGCACCCTCGCAAGTCTAAGGTTTTGAATTTTTTGTATATTCGAGTTTATCCAGGTTCGGAGCCCTTAAAAACCGGAATCCCGATGACCCTGAGAGTTGAATTGTATGTTCCTACGTGCAGGCGGCGCATGTCGGTCATCGTCCGGGACCCGGGCGGCAAATCGCTCCTGCTGTCCAAGGGCGCTGAGACCATCATCTTTGAGCTCCTGGCGGCAAACGACAAGGCGAAGGTACGGCTCAGGCTGTGGCTGTCTCTGCGTCGCATGACCAGATCGGCCTGATCGAGGACGTTTGACGTAGGAGGTTTCCTGGTTCGCTCTTCTGAATGCTCCTTGTTCCTTTGGAAGCGTCGCCCCATCTGATGTTCCCTTTGAACCCTGTTGTTCCTTTGCTTGCACGAATGCTTTCTGGCACATCTTTGCTACGAACAAGAGTGTCAAGGACGGCGCAAATCTCCTTCGGGTCGTCCCCTAAGACTTGGCGACTAAATCTCTCCCGGAAAGCACCATTTGACTTGGGAACGATTTGCGGTTGCTGGTTTCCAGGGCTGGGACGGTGACTGCCGGAAGTGGCTGCAGAGTCTGGATTCCTTGTTGACAAGATCCAAAAAAGGGGGCACAACCGAAGAGAACAAGTGCAAAAAAAGGGGGCACAACAAAAGAAAACAAGTGCCTCACATTACCCTATGTTCGCTAACTCGCCAGCAACGTCCAAATGAATCAGCTCGTTGAAAAGCAAAGCAGAGTCCCTTAAGAATCTTCGCTCAAACCGATGTGCGACTCTGGCCCAATCGAGTATTGTAACGTCTTGCAGGAGTTCCGGCGTGTGACTGAGGACCATATCGACCAGTACGCGGAGGCCGGCCTGCGGACGCTCGCGCTGGCGTACCGAGAACTGGACGAGTCCGAGTACCAAGAGTGGGCCGTCCGGTGGCGGGGCGCCAAGCATGACGTCAGCAGCGCCGCGGAGACCGCCAAGCGGCTGGGGGTGCTGGCTGACGAGATCGAGCGGGACCTGACGCTAGTCGGGGCGACAGCAATTGAGGATAAGCTGCAGGTACGGATTTGTTGGGGTTTCACTTTCGGAGGTCTTGTCGATGGTATGTTTGAATTTTTAAGTTCCAGATTCAGAGTTTGGGGGCGCTTCGGTTACTGATGCGCGATTGGACGTTGGTTGGGGCGACGGCGATTGAGGATAGCTGCAGGTGAGGACTTGTTAAGTTCCAGTTTTTGAGGTCTTGTCGACAGTATTTTCGAATCTCGAAGTTCCAATCCATAAGAAATGGGGGCGCTGTCGGTTACTATCGAGCGAGATTGGACGCTGGTGGGGGCGACGGCGTTTGGGGATAAGCTGCAGGTGAGGAGTTGTACCGACAAATCAGGTTGAGGGTTTTATTGATTGTGAACTTGGAGGGTCTGGGTTCCAGTCTGACAATTCTCCGTCCGACACTTTTGAGCGCGATCTGACACTGGGGACAAATCGGGTAAGGATAACCTGCAGGTGAGGAAATTCAGATGAGTGCGGTGATCGCTGGGGTGCAAGAATTTCATTGTGGAGTATCTAGTCTCTCGTGTGTGAAGCTCAACTTTGGGTTGTTTGGTCTGGGAGGCGCCCGAGACCAGTTCATCTTTCGCAACTTGTCCGCTTTATTGTCGGCTCGGAAGTCCTTTTGACTAACAACAAGGCGGGCACTGCGAGAGGAGTGAGCCGGGGTTGTTCAAATCGCAGTCAATACGACGTCCGACATTCTCGCAGAGTTGAGGACGGTTACGCGCTACATGTTTCTCATTGCCGTGTGTATATTTTTCAAACGAGCTACGCAATGGCAAAGTTGCTAAGCGAGAAGAGTTACAGTCTCAGAACGATACACTTGCAGCTTTTCAAGTATCTCACCATGTGTAACGTGTCCATTTCCCGGCAGGTGGGCGTGCCCCTTACGATCGACAAGCTGGCCAAGGCGGGCACCGAAAAAGAGCCAACTCTTTGGTTGAACACTTTGCAATTATTACAAATCACGTACAGTGCCCCACGTGTTCACTCTCTGGTAGGTGGGCGTCGTCCAAATTGATCGACAACCGGAGCAGAGCGGGCATTGAAACGAGAAATTGGAGGAACTGCTCGAACTCAAGCGAAACTGAAACTTCAGCATTTCACTCGCAAGCGGTTCTGTGTTGGTTCCTGACCGACAATGACCTGTCCCATTCTCCGGCAGGTGGGCGTCCCCCAGACGATCGACAAGCTGGCCAAAGCGGGCATAAAAAGAAAACGAAGGGAATTCTAAGCCACTGTGAGAACGTCAAAGCTTTAACACTACACCCGCAAGCTGCTGCGATCTGAATCATGTGCCACGTGTTCTCTTCTCGACAGGTGGGCGTCCCCCAGACGATCGACAAGCTGGCCAAGGCGGGCATCAAGCTGTGGGTGCTGACGGGCGACAAGATGGAGACGGCAATCAACATCGGGTACGCGTGCAGCCTGCTGCGGCACAACATGGGCAAGCACATCCTCACGCTGGACCACCCGGAGGTGCACGAGGCGGAAGCCACCAAAGACGCCGCAAAGATTAAGGAGGTGGGTAATCATCATCAGTTCGTTTTCCTTCATCAAAGGTTTTTGAATAGTATGCTTGTGTAAATAGGTTTCAGGATCTAGTTCATATCTATTTAAATACTGAGCTGGTGCGGTTTACTTGGAAATGCACAAGGCGGAGGCAACCAAGGACGCTCCGCTCATCAAGCAGGTGGGTGGTGACTTGCTGTTATTTTCCTTCGTCTAGGGTTTATGCTTTTTGGCTCGGAGAGGAGATGATTTCTGGTCCAAGTTTGTTCGACACCGAATATCGTCTCGAAGAACTGAGCTGTTGCTTTTACCCGGAGGTGCACGAGGCGGAAGCCACCAAAGATGCCGCAAAGATTAAGGAGGTGGGTGGTCGTCGGGTGTTATCTTCTTCGTCGAGGGTTTTATGCTTTAAGGGGTTCAAAAGCTTACGATTCAAATCCCAGGTCTATAATCTCTTGATAAGTGAGCCGGTGCCTTTACCCGGAGATGCACGAGGCGGAGGCCACCAAAGACGCCGCGCTTATCAAGCAGGTGGGCGCTGGGCGGTTTCCTTTTTCCGGTCCCCTTTTTTCCTTCCTTTTTGTCCTTCTTTTCTGTCCCCTGCGGTTGACGCTTCATTATCGAGAAAGGGTTTCTCCTTCCCGTCAGAAATTTTATTCGACACCGGGGACCTGCCAGTGCACGGGGCGGAAGCAACCAAAGATGCCGCAAAGATTAAGGAGGGGTAAGGTTCATCACTGTTTTCTTCTTCGTCGTTCCAGTCCGGACTGTAGGGTTTATAAGTTCCACTTCTCTGGTGAAATTGGTCGTTAACTTGTGTTTTGTACGCCGACCTTACAACCTAGTCTTCGGTCCTCTGATTACGGTGTTTCCCTCTTGCACTTTTTGTGTAGGTCTCTCTGTGGTCTAATTGCGCTTGGAGTTTTGTAGACGCCTCAGAAGACCAGATCAAAAGCCCCACTGCAAAAGGTCAAGGATTCGATGGCAATTGATCGGTCTCTCCGAATCCCAAGATCTGCTTCCTCCCGTGCAGGCGTCCGTCAAGTGCGTCCTGCGCCAAATCGCGGGCGCTTTGGACAGCTTGCGCAACCTGAACTTCTGGCTGACTGTAGCCGTCTGATCCTTCCATATGAGAAAAGTTGTGCATTCCGCGCAGGCATCCATAAAGTGCGTCCTGCGCCGGATTGCGGACGCCTCAGACAACCTTCCCGGCTCGCTGCCCTTCCATTATGCTAAACTTGCCAATCCGTGCAGGCGTCCGTAAAGTGCGTTCTGCGCCAGATCAGGGACGCTTTGGACAGCTTGCGCAGCGGCGCGGCCGCCGAGTCGGTGGGCCTCGCGGGGGAGGCGGCTTCGAACGGGCTGATCGTGGACGGCAAGTCGCTGCTGGCCATCTTCGATGACCCGGGCGCCAAGGCGGGCTTCCTCCAGCTGGCCATGCTCTGCGAATCCGTCATCTGCTGCCGCGTCTCGCCCATGCAAAAGTCGCAGGTGCGCTTGGGATTCTGTTTTTGATATTGAAAGGGATGGTTTAGGAGCTTGATCATCTTTCTCAAGGATTGACTCGGAGATTCTTAGCACGAGGAGGCCGTTCATCTGCTGGCGCGTGTCGCCCATGCGAAAGTCGCAGGTGCGCTGAGGCTCCGTTTGTGCCTTTTGACGAGATGTTTTTGTGGAATTCAACGAGGTGCTTTTGCTTAAATCAACTTGCTTGGAAGAGTGTACTGGTTGCCAAGTCGTGTGTTCTGTTGGTCGCTTGAGCATCGGAGGTGCGCACCAAGAGTCACAGCATCCATACGACTGTGTCTCGTAGCTGAAGCCCGTGGCTCTTGCAGAGCTGGTGCAGAGCACTAAACAACCAACGGTCCCTTAACTTCCCCGACTCTGCCAGCAAGTGAGTCAGAATGCCAGTTCTAAGTTGTAAGCGACGCTGTCAGTCCCGCCAGGAAGTCCAACTTTGATGATGGAAAGCGCGAACAGAAGAAGGACGCGCGCAAATCCTGCTTGCCACAACGCTGACCACGTAGGCTTCGTCTGAGGCCCAGGACGACTCTGGCGATATTTTCTGCTTTATCAAGACCAAATTCCCCATTTGAAAGGAAAATGAAGCCAGAGATTCACTCGATGCGCTCCTTTCCATCAGAGATTCACTCGACGCGCTCTTTCCCTCAGGTGACACAACTCGTGCGCCGCGACGCGGGCGAGATCTGCCTGGCCGTTGGCGACGGCGCGAATGACGTGGGCATGATCCAGGCGGCCAACGTGGGCGTGGGCATCAGCGGCTTCGAGGGCCAGCAGGCGGTCATGTCCTCCGACTTCGCCATCGCGCAGTTCCGCTTCCTGGAGCGGCTGGTACTGGTGCACGGGGGTTGGTCCTACAAGCGCATTTCGCGCATGGTGAGGCGCTGGCTTAGACTCCCTGGAATACCGTACCGATTGTCCGGTTGGGCAACAATTCTTTTTTTCCTTGACTTGCCCAAAACTTTGAATGCAAAATAAATTACAATATCAAAGTGGCAACTCGGTTTGCCCCGTACGAAAACAAAATAAATTAGTAAAATGAAGCTGCCCAAATTCCATAGCATACGAGATTTATATTTGGGCAAGAATCTGCCCAATTGGACAATCGGTACGGTATGCGCTATGAGGATCTATTGTCTAGAGATGGTGTTCAGGACTGATCTGGGATGCGGGGTCCTGGAGTTGCATCTCCAGAGATCTAATGCCAAGGTTCGGTTCCCGCTTGCTCTGCTCACAAGGAACTTCTCTTCAACGTTTGATTGCTTTTTCGGCAGTGGCTACTCCAATGGTTCGTTTGTCACGACAGTGAACCCCTACCCGTGCTGACACCGTATCTGCCAGAAGGCGATCAAAATTTCAGTACGAGACCCCGATACGCCAGAGTCTAAATGTCTGTTCCTGCATTCATATGTTTCCTTTACAAGAATTTTCTCCTTGGCTTTACCGCCTTCTTCGGTGTTAGCCACGGCCTCTTGGCCAACTACCATGTCTCAGAGGGATCTGAAAGCCTGCTCTCTTGAACGCCGAACATCCTCATATTCCCTTCGCTTGCAGATCACGTACTTCTTCTACAAGAACTTCCTCTTCGGCTTCACCGTCTTCTTCGGCAACGGCTACGCCATGTTTTCCGGCCAGTCCATCTACCACGACTGGTACCTCTCCCTTTACAACGTCGTCTTCACCAGCATACCCATCGGTGTCGTCGCCTGTATCGACCAAGACGTCTCCCCTCGCTACCGGCTAAAGTTTCCCGGACTCTACCGTCCGGGGCAGATCAACCTGGACTTCTCGTGGTTCCGGATTGCGTCGTGGCTGCTCAACGGCCTTGTACAGGTAAGGAATGTAGTCTGGTTGGGTTTCGCCCGAGGGTTACGGCTGGGTTTCGATTTTATTTTTGCTTTGGCTGTCTCGATGCTCTGTTGCCTGGGCGCCTGATCTGCTCAGACAACCTTTTCTGGGGTGATATCGTGTTCGAAGCTAGGGTTTTTTGGTCGCCGCTCCTGCTTGAGTTCTATGGCAGTGAAGTTCAGAGTTTCTGATACGAGCGGATGTGTAATACTGCCTGAGTGTCGTTGAAAGTCTTCTTAATGTACCCGACTTCTTGGTTTGAATTCGATGACAAAAGGAATATCCTCGTCGCAAAGCAAAAAGGATTAACTTTTTATAGTCATCAATTGAAATTTTATCCAATTTACAATAACTAATTTTTCCATATCAATTCGATTATGTAAACGCCATCGGTAAGCAGCTATATTCTTTCTTAATGTTATACTGCCACCAAGATGATTACCTTTCCTTCTCAGCTCTCCGTTACTCGAAGCAGCGGCCGAAGAGTTTCGTTCGCATAGTACTTTAGGAATGAACGCTGGCGTTTCGTTGACCGCTTTCCCCTTTTCTCCAGTCTCCTGTCGTGACTGATTTTGGTATCCAAACGTAAACGTACTCCTCTGATACAACGGAGGGGCAGACCTCTTTCCGGCGGATGCTTCTAAGAACCTACTGGCTCACTCGACCAGTTTCCCGTCTTGTTTGCAAACATCTCCTCAGCGCCCTCTATCCTCTCACCGACCAACCTTCCGAAGAAGTCGGGAGCACGTTACTCGCGGACTAAGCTGGCGCTCCATTTCCGCAGGCCATAATCGTGTTCTGGCTCGCATTGGGCTACTACCGGCTGCAAGCCAACATGAGCGACGGGAAGATAATGGACCTGTACGCGGAGGGCACCACACTGTGAGCGGCTCCTTTCTTGAGCTTTTCAGGAGGCTTTTTAAGATTCTAGGGTTACGGCTTTTCCTTTCTCACTGTCCAGATCTCCACAAGGAGTACAGAGGGTTGCCGTCTAAATAACTAATGATGCACTTTTGAGCGCTGGAGACACGCTTGAAGCTTCCCTAAGTCGTGTGCTTTCCGAGGGCTTACGCAGAGTTTGCGGTGGTGTCACCAGGTGTTCAATCAAAGCCGTCAATCGGGCTCTTTTTCGATGTTATGCTCTACGAGCCTTGCCGTCCCCTCCGGATCTGTCCTTGGAGCCTTAAGCTGATCCCAGCCAGATTTGTTTTGCCAGCCCTAAGCATCTTAGCGCTGCTCAAGCCAGCGCAGCTGGCCGCCCGATGCTCCTTGACTCCTCAACGCTATCTGCACCTATCTCCTTTGTTACTTGCTGTCGAAGCCGAGACTTGTTTTGCACAGCGAGTTGTCCAAAAGTCAACCCAAATTTTCGGCAGTGCTGATAAGTGACAATCAACAGCCGGCGGTCTCTGTCCAGTACTGGACAAAGATCCTTGCAATCTAAAAATAAGAGTCATTTCGCATCGCGTAAGACCGTTCCTTTACTGCCTTGGTTAGCAGGCCCCTCCCCTTCAGCTTTATCGCGGTTGTAATCAACGCCAACCTCCAGCTCGCGGTTATCATCCAGTGTTGGACGCGACGTCACCTTCTCTTTCGTCTCTTTCACGTACCCTAAAATACTATGCACCTTTTTCCAATCACCCTTCAACGGTTTCCTTAACCCAGGTCTAGCGCCGGGTAGTCATCGCCATATTCCAGCCTGCGGTCCTTATCCAGCATTGGACGTAACGTCACCTTTCGACTTGTCTCGTTTACAAAGTTCGTCTAGCGTCAAGTCCCACATCCCTTCCTCTGATCACCGTTCCACCCTTAGTTAACCCAGGTTTACTGCGGCGGTGTTTGATTGCCACATCCGCTTGCGGTCATCATCTGATACTGAGTTCTGACATCACCTTCGTTTCGAACTTCAAGTTGTGAAAAGTCCCAATTTCCCTCTTCTAACCACCATCTTCCCTTCCTTAAACCCAGGTTTACCGCGGTGGTGGTTATCGCCAACCTGCAGCTCGCGGCCATCATCCAGTACTGGACGTGGATCCACCACCTGGCCATCTGGGGCTCCATCATCGTCTACATTCTCTTCCTTCTAGTTCTCAGCGCGTTCCCCGTCGCCTGGTCCGGCGAGGGCTACGGCATCTTCCAGGGAATCGTCGCTAAGGCGCCGTCATTCTACGTAATGGTCCTGCTGCTGACCGTTGCGGCGCTACTGCCAGACTTTGCAACGCGGAGTTATATCTGGTGAGTGATCGGGCGTTTCATTAGGCCATCTGAAGGTTTAGGCTAGAGCGGTTATCAAATCCGGGATCTGACGTCTTGGTGCTTTCGCTCACTGGTGCAGCTTTTGCATTGTGCAGCTTCCTGAGCTCGGTGCTGATCAGATTGTCGAGAGGGCGTGATCCTTAGAAGGCACGAGACGATGAAATGTCGATGTTTGCTGGTTGTAAAGTGTCACCTTGCTGTTCGTTGGCGCGGCGGGGTTGCAGCGCCACGGTTGCTGGACCTTTGTTGAGCCGATTCAGCAAGGTTTTGGTGTCGGAGCTCGCGGGAAACACAGCAGCAGACCCGCTCCAAGATTAGGCCCCGATTGGAGCTTGCTCTCGTCATCAGCAGGGCTTGACTAGATTATTGTGGTTCTTTTAGTCTCGAGCACCTGTCTCCTACATCTTAAGGTAACGTTTTTAGTCGGAGAATTCGTTTTTGACCTTTGCTGATCAGCGCCTATGGTTATCTCCCAGGATGCGGCGCCCCGAGGACACCAACATCGTGCAGGAGATCGCCCACAAGGCCCGGAGGGGCAAACTGGCTGCGCCCCAGCTGTCCCCCGAAGCGGAGGAGGCCCCGCCGGCGCGGCCGCAGTCTCGGGGCCGGTTCGGCTCGTCTTTGCTCGGACTGAAACGGCAGTCGTTCGAGCAGCAACGGTCGTTCGAGCTGCGGCAAATGCACTCGCCGGCGCCGAAAATGAAGAAAATCGTTTTGCCGAATGGGTCGTTGACGAGTCAGCGGTCGAGTAACGGGCGGCTTGAAAGCATGGGCGCTTTGGAGGAAGAGGTTGCGGGTAATGGGTATGAGAGGAATGGAGAGCTTCGGGGGGACGGGATCGTGGAGATGCAGCCGTATAGGTGACAGTAGGCTAGCTTATTGGAGAGTTTTTTTTTTTACAGACGATTTTGCTTGTCATACTGTAACCTGAATACTCGTCACAAATACATACATATGAACACGGCAGCGGCTTAACAATCTCTCACAACGTCGCTCCAGTGACATGTAAAACTACATAATACCCGGCACAGATGCATGGTCGAGAGTAGCATTGATGTAACCTCTCCCCCGCCTAAGACATTGTTCCGAGAGCTAGCAATGTGATTCACCGGGCGGCTGCATGGTATTCATGCACTGAGCACCGTCGGCTGCGGAGTCAACCTAAGACTTCTCTAAGTCTTGCTAGCTTGCTCGGATCCTAAAATGGTTATAACCATAAGCTAGCCTGGCCATGCGGTCGCAGCTAGCTGGCCGGCGTCATTGGCATCGAGTGCCGGAATGTGGTGGTATCATTCCATTAGGCCGCCCCGAACAATTAGTACGATGGCACTTGAGTGTGACAACTCAATTGGATTATTTGCCCGGCAATGCGCTCTGCATGCGCAGTGTACGTATATAGCTCATGCTCACATATTAGATATGCCATGGATCCCTCGATCTTCTATAAGCTGCACATGAACTTTCGGCTGGCCAACCTTGGACATCGATCAAAGCATTGAACACGCGGTGCGGTGTGCGCTTGCGTTCGGTTGTTGTGTTCGGCCTCGATCCGCTCACAGACGAGCAAGTTGCCAGCGTCACGTCTCCAACTATGCATTCATCAAGGTGAAGGCTTAGCGCGGCTTTGACCGATAAAAGCGCTGACCTGATTTGAACAAGCAGAAGATCCACAAGTACGGCTCAAAGGCCCAGCCTCAATCGATGCAATACCGGTAACCTGATGACGATTATACGCGCCCTTGGCCCATATGGACGATAGTCCCGAGGACGGCTCTTTGATCCTCGTCCTCCAATCAGTGCTGACGGTTCGGAGTGATTCCGTCATCTTTGTGATTGTTTGTTGGCAACTAGCTAGAACATATCCACCAATCGAGCGGTCTAGATAAAGTCCTCACACTCACGTGTGTGATCTCAAACCTGGCTTTAGAGAACTTGCATCGAGATGATTTCAGTGGCCGAGGCAATACTTGCAACATCCTGAACTGAAATTGACATGCTCCGCTTCCGTATTCAAACGGAACTCCAAACCAATCCCAACCGTACCTTAGGCAGAGTCCATCTCAACGTAGAACTTTAAGCGTTCCACCTTGGTGAATCGGAAGCCTTCTAGGCTCTCGACCTCGATCCTGAAGATTCGAAGGGAGCCTTCAAAGGGCCGTGGACGATCTTGAGAGGTTGGCCACCCCCATTATACCAAGAGTTCGAGATCCTACCTGGGGTCTGGTCGACTCGATGCAGAAAACGCTAGATTTGCCACCAGCGAGATCTTCCTCTTTGAAGCTGAAGTCCTGCCAGATATTCCAAAGACTACATGTACCCTCGTTGTGCGCAAACAATTCAGTACGCTCCAAGTTCGGACACCCTTGATTCAATCCGCCAACACAGACAAGATACGGAAGGTATCAAGGACCAGGAGGGGAAAGTCCATTGCATTGTATCTGCTTCTCGTTAGTGATAGTTCAATGCTTCTCTTCCTATGGAGATTCGTTTTGCCATGTTATAAGGTCCATTCTTCTTGCAGATCCATTGCGAGATGGAGTTCGGAGCACTTGAATGCATCTCTGAAACGTACTATATGCTCGAAGCACCCTTCATCGACTTGCCGAGTCAGCTTGGGACCTGGATTGACCAGCAAGCTCCCTGATTGGTGTACTTTTCTTGTACTAGAAGCTCGTAAGCCATGGCACCTATTGTAGAGGTCAAGAACGACTCCCGAGATCGAGGCATAGCCAAGTGACCATCGTCAGGTCAGAAACCATGGGCACACAGCTGAGAAAACGAACAACGTTCCTGCCGTCGACTTGCAGCCTTTTACCCTCGGCTTGAGCGCACTTGACATCATTCCTGTCAACTCTCAGAAACCCTTCTTTTCCGCCTCCACATATTCCCCCCTGCTTCCGACGTTTTCCTCTGCTTCCAGCTTTCTCTCCTGCTTCCAACTTTTGACGGATGAAAGCTTCTCCGATTGAGGTGGAAGCGCCGTTGGCCAAAGTGCTGCAAGTGCGGAGATCGTTCCCCAACGCGAGCGCCATGGCGAACGTCCCCAAGGACAACGGGCCGACCGCCAAGAAGTGGAGGCCCAGAGACATCTGGGTGTTCAGGTAAGAGGTTCGCTGCTTGATCCACAATCGTAAACTTGAGCCAAAAAGAGGCACACATCCAGAGGCTCAATTGTGCTCCTCGTAGCCTGTCTTTGTTCGCAGCCATTAGTCAGGATTTGGAATCAGACGTCGTTTCCTTTTTGGCCCAGAAAAATAATCTGCTACCTTCGTCAAAAATCGCGAGGACGTTCTCTTCTCGAAGATCAAGACCCCAAATTTTCTTTCTAGATTGCTAATTCTTTGGCGCAGAGAGCTAGACCTAGCGGCTATTTTTCTTTCTTGGCTTCAGATCTTGACCACCAAGAGCTCGACAACGTCTCTCCTCCTTGCAGGATAATAGTTGCGGGGACGATCCTCACCATCGGCGGAGGCGCTCTTCTCGCTTTTTGTGAGGCCGCCTTTGTTACGGATGGTTTACCTCTTTTGAATTGTGTTAATTTCACACACTTCTAATAAGGCCTGACAAGCACTTTCGAAATTTCTCTGCTTTTAATTCATTTTCCGTCCGTTTTCCATTCCTATATCAGAGGAGCAGTACAGGCCTTTTCCAAAAATCGGGGATCTGCAGAAGAGACTGTTCAACACTATTCGCGAAGACTGATTCCCTCTCAGCCCGTTTCGCATGTTTGGATTGCATGCAAATACTAGCTCCTCATCTTTATCTGCGGTCCCCCAAACTTCTGGCCGACCACTGCAAACTCCGCATATGCATCAAGCGTCTTGGAGATTCAAACCAGTCTCTCTTCAAATGCCTAGTTCCTGCTCTAGGGTTTGCCTTCCGACTGCTAATCATCGAAGTAACCATTGAGACCAAGAAGATCACCCTGCTGTTCTTTAAAGGACAATTAAGTTTCTCGAGCTTAAGCTTCTCATAATGCTCTCATCTGTGCCTATTGCAGTGGTGATCGGTCTCCCTGTCCTCTTCATCGGCGGCGGCCTGCTCATCTTCTTCAGCCCGGTCCTCATTTTCATCGCCACCATCACGAGCCCCATCTGGATCCCGGTCGGGGGACTGATTCTGGCGACCCCGCCCATCCTGGCAGGCCTGTCGGTCGCCGCGGCAACCTGCCTGTTCTTCGCGTACTGGGCCTACAACTTCTTCAGGTAATGTTTGAGACACTAAAAGACGTAGCTCCTGAGCGCTCCGCAAGAGCTGCTGTAGTGCTTTCAAGTAGTGCTTTTTGTTCTTTACTTACCAAAGTGGTGGACTGCTGTCAAGACCGACTTCGCAATCGGTGAAGCAGCATTGACAGTCACGATGCCTTCACAAATCGGGGTCCTCAAGAAGACACGTTGGTCCGAAAAAGGACTCGATTCTCATCTTATCAGACAATCCGTACCCAGTTCTAGCCTCTGATCCCTTTCTTGAGTTAGAAAATAGGGGCGTCAGTTCAGATCATTACTGCCCCTCTCTTGCAGGTCGTACAAGAAGCCCAGCCTCGTTGACATGCAGGATGGCGCGTTCGACGTGGACTCTGCAGTAAGGCAGCGGAGCGTGGACTAGCTTCTATTTGTCCACTGGCAATGATTCGTAGCTTGATCAAACAAAAATGTTTGAGAATAAGATTACCCAGCCTTTCTTATGCAACGTAGTTGCCGGCTGTTAGAGGTGCTTGAACAGGAGCGAACCGGTGCATTGAAATCTTTGGATGCACCGAACGATTTTACCCCGTGGAATGTCGCGGTGGGGTTAGAGTAGTAGTTAGTCGGCTAAAGTTCATTGTTTGGAAGACCCTTCATTTTGGGGCTGTACTAGCTGTAATGTAACGTCCCGCTGGTCCACGTACAGTACTGTGTCTTCTCTGAAGTCCAGACATGTACCGTATAGTGTGATAGCTTTTGTTATATTCCATACGTGCGCCAGGATGCAAGCAGTAATGGACAAGACCTGACAACAACTGCTCCTAGAAGAATATTCATGCAGGCTTTCATTTCTATGAAGGGTGAAGATTGCATCACATTACCAAATCTCAGCACGTTTGGGAATGGTATGTCGAGGCATCGTAAGCACCGGAGAAACAAGTCAAACGTCTGGCTTTTATGCATGCTGCATGCATGGTGTCTGAAATACATTGACATGGGGTCAGAATGCATAATGCAACTCATAAAAACGACTATTATGGAAACACGATGAGATCATGCATGACATGATCTGCATTATTCTAATGACTCCAATCGCAGAAACGTGGTAAGACATTGGGTCCTCGGGTCACCGCCTTATGCAGAGACCGAGTATATTACAAATTCAGCCCCAAAGGATAGCCGTTCTAAGCCTTCTAAATGTATTTTTTGTTTACATACATCTAGAATATGTATGTACCATATTCATCTGCAACAAGGTATCAGCAGAATTGAACACAGTACCTAACGCTTCTCTTCCTTGTAAGTTCTCGACCTTTCGCTGACTAGGAACTTGAGACGGCCCTGGAAACAGTGCGGAGGGTAGTCCGTTGCTTTTTCCAAATACACGAGCCCTTCCTCGGCTGTCGCGGCGGACTGTAGAAGCATGGAGCCCAGCTCGTAGCAAGCGAACGGGACGATGTGCCTGCATCAAGATGACGAGATGTCACCTTCTGTTCATGCCAAATGTTTGGCGAAGGATCTTACGAGATTCCTTCAGATGTTGGTACAGATAGAGGAGCAATGTGCACGAAATTCCTGAGAGTTGGCTTCTTGAAGCTTAGGAGCCAAACCTATCCTTGAAAATCCACGACTTGTCGACCGGTTAGACCTCTGCCAGCAGGAATCCTGCTTCGCATACAGAAAGTCATTGATGTGCTTACAGTTCTTGAATGCTAGTAGAATTCAGAAGCCAGATGCCGAACCAGACCCAAAACAGAAGCAGAACCCCGGCAGATGTGCGAATGCCTCATATCTAAAGAGAAGAAAAACCCGCAGCCAACGCCGTAACCCTTACCCGCCAATGTTCTGCCCCACCGAGATTGCAAACGCCAGCTCGTCCGACGCCTTCTCCGTCTCCCCCAGGTGTTTGTGGCAGCACCCGAGCAGGAACTTGCACAGCATCTCGCTCTCAATCGACCAGCTGTGCCCGTACTCCTGATCCCCCGATCGCTCAGAAGCGACCGGGGCGGGCGCGGAACTTGCGGAAACGGACGGCGCGCTTTGCAGGCTCTCATCCGAGAGTGCTGACGTCACTTCTTCCGCAGTGACATCCCCGCTGACGCCAGGATCTCCTTGCGGGGCGCCCGTTAGCAGGTCGGTTATCATCTGCCGCGCAATTCCGCTTCCGGCGCTCGGGGGAGTGCTCTCGGGGCTCTTGGGCGTCCCCTGACCATCTGCCACCGCGGCAGGTTTCGCCTTCCGCTTGTTGCCCCAAGAAACCTCTCCGCTGCCCAGGACGCTCTCGATCTTCTCAACGTGCTTCTCCAGATCTGCGCGGCTCATTTGCTGGAAGCCGTTCCAGAGGGCCGCGGTCTCGAGCGCCGGGAAGAGCGGCGCTTCACCGCGGTGCTGCGTGAAGTCGCGCGCGAGCCGCAGCCAGTGGGCTTCGAAGGGCGCGAGCGCGGCCTTTGCAGGAACGTCGTTGGCGTCGAGACCCACCCTAGATAACAATGACGTTTTGAGTTTCAAGTAGCATTTTCGTAAGGGAATGGCTTTCTGCGTTTGTAGAAAAACTACCCAGAAGAACAGAATTTGTGAAGAGCCGTAGATTTCAGTGCGCGTTCCTGAGTCTAGGATTTGCCTGTATCCTTATTACGTTCTGCAAGCTTGCTGTAATCAATCTTGCGAGCTGCTTGCGTAGCCATGGTGCGACAAATAAAAGAGTCCGGATGAATTGTTAGGACAGACCATGAAAATTTCGCATACATTGGAACTAGGAATGCTGCACTAGCGCGTCAAGGAAGCAGATTGTGTGCACAGCTACATCAGTCTGTCCACTCAGCCAGCAATTCATAAATCTGGTCTTACCTCGAAGTGTTCTGCGCTGCCGACTCCACAATTTCCGACATGAGCCTCATCGCCGCCGGGTGCTGCTCCTCTCCTGCTTCCCACCGACATGCCGCCTCCAGCGACAGATAGAAAAGTCCCCAAGGGCCATCTATTTCGCAATACTCCTGCCGGGGGGCAGCCTTCGGATTCAGGGGGCTGTCTTTCCCCATCATAGGAGACGGTGTGCTATCGCTCAGAAAGTCGATTTGCACCCCGGTTGCCGCCGGTTCTCCTGCGCTTTCGCTTTCCGAAGCGAGCGCCGGTCTCGCGCTTTCCTCCGCGGGCGTCTCTTCAACGACGCGCGCTTTCGCGACGCGCGTCCGCTGCGCGCGCCGGAGGCGCGCAAACACGCCCGCGGCGTCGCCGTACCGCCCCGTAAGGAGGTAACACCAGCCCAGCTCGTACAGCACGTTTTTGTTCAGTTCGCTTAGTTCCGATTCCGCTTTGATTGCTTCCTCTGCTCCGTTCCGATCTGGAAGAGCGGAATCTGGCCGGTCGTTCGCGTCCGACTCCTCCAGGATCTGGACGGCGTCCGACAGCTCGCCGTCGTAGCGCAGCCGCCGCGCGCTGAGCAGCGCGGAGAGCGCGCCCGGGGACATGTCGCCCGCGCGCCAGGCCTGCTTGAGCGCGGCGAGGAGGCGCCGCGCGTCGCGCGCGTGCGCGAAGGACTCCGGCTGGAACGACTGGATGACCGTGTGGTCTGCGGGCCGGCGGAGACGGAATTTTTAGCAGATGTGGAGGAATGGGTAAGCGCTTACATGTGCGCTAAAGCGGCCTCCTTCCAAGTTCAAATGCCAAAAGCTTATGGTTTTCTTGTTCTTGTCTTCTAAACTCCACAGCCAAGTGCTTCATGCATGAGGATGTTGAGGGGAGTCCTCGGTGGATTGAATAGGGACTAATTAGACGAGTATGTACGGGTATGGCAATAGTCTGCGACTAAAAGTAGGCGCTCCTTTCGAGAAGCACCACAATACAACAATCGAGGTGAACCTGAGAGCTCTCCAGTTTGAAGCCAAAGTAGTAAGACAAAGTCACGCCTGTGTTCGTGCAAATGGCAATCGATTCAAGGGCAATCGATGATACGTCGTGAAAACCGCAATCAAAAAAACGATTGGATGGATGCTCACAGTATAGAAGCAGCATTGAAGCCAGCTGCGACCACTCGTTCTGCTCGGCGGCTACTTTCTCGAGCAGCTCCAGGCCAGCTGATCGGAATCCTGCGAAGCCCAGCACCTCGGCGGCCTTTTGGACCTGGAAGGAAACGAGAAACAAGCGCTATTTGTTAACATCTGCACAGATGTGCGGAATTGTAGCGAAGGATGTCAGGCAGATTCATTGACGCCGGTAACACTTCCAAGATGCAGACTTGAATTCACAACTCAACAATCGACGAGTATGGATCTCGAAAGAAAGCAAAAAGCAACTTCACTTTGACCGCACGAAGATGCTTGCGAGCCCTTTTTGTTCTCAAGGGTAGCGTAAATACTAAGCGGTTCCACGGCCGAGGGTTTAAGCGTTTGCCAAGCTGATGTTAACAACACATGACACTTCTCACCTTGGTCGGAATCAACGACACCAGCACCTGGAGCATGCCCAAACCGAAGTCGACTTGCGCCTTTACCGACGTCAGCACAGGGTCTGTCTCCAGCCCCTTGCTTGCGTCAGCCAGGGCGGAAGTCGGCGTCCCACTCTCTTCTTCAATTGCTTTTGGGCTCGTCGCTCCTCTGGGCCCCAGAATGCTTGCGTCATCCATACCACGGCGCGCTGGCCCCTTCCCGACACTGGCATCAACCGCGTGCACCGCCGCAGGATTTATAAGAGCCCCGCCCGCTTGCCCCGCGCTGATCCTGCGGGACTGCGACGCCAGCTCGCTCGCATTGCTCGATCGCCGGCTGACCCGCGACGCGCGCCGGCTGCTCGCGCTCTTGCGTGAGCTCCGCCGGCTGCCGGCGCGCCACAGCTTGCGCATCCCGCCCCCGGGCTCGGCGCTGACGTCATCGTCGTCGCTGCCCCAGCCCGAGTCGTCGATCGGCTGCTGGCGCCGCACGCGGCGTTCCTCGTCCGAGTCGGAGTCGTCCTCGCCCCGCTTGCCGATCTTCTTCTTGATGAAGCCCTTTGCGCGCGTCCAAAAATCCGCGCCTTTGTCCGCGCCCTCTCCGTTGGACTCTCTCGCCACGTCTCTCGACGGCTGTGCTCCGGAATTTCCCTCGCTCTTGTTCGCACTGCCCTTTCCGAACCACTTGCTTGTCAGTGACTGCTTCGCCCCGCTGCTCTTTGGAGCTTCGCTCGGCCCGGCTTCCTCTACCAGCGGCGCTACTTCTTCCCCCGGGGGGGGCTCCCGTCCGATGATCTTTTCCACGAGACCGGTCCCAGATACTCCCCCTTTGCGTCCCCGGTTGCTGTTGCTCCGTTCTTGTTCCGAGGCCAACTCTTGTCCTTCGTCCTGTTGACTGAGCTCGCCGTCTGCAGTCGGCCGAACAGACCTGCCGGTGTCTTTCTTTTGCTTCTGTTGGTCGGCTTCTTCAGCGGCAGCGGCAGCGGCTTCGAGTGCAGTCACCTTCTCGATCTGTAACAAGCAGCAGCAGAGGCACTTGAGCGGAACGGTATCTTCTGATGTTGCTGACAGGGGAAACAAGCGCAAGACCTTGATACATGACCATCTATGAAGTTGCCATCTCGTGCATCCCACGTACTCTGCTGAACTGTTCGTTGCACAGATCTGTCCCCTGTGTAAGTTTCTTCTGAGTTATTGGAAGCACTCATCTGATCAATTTGGCGGCAGCATAATTTCGAAACTCTGACCGTTTCAGATCGTCTTTCAAAAAGATTCTCACAGGCTAGCGAGGTGCCAAACGGATGCTCTGCAGGAGGACCGTATCAGTTAGATGGTGGTCAGCCTGGCAGAAGGACGGTCGTCCGGTAACCTTACCTGCTTCTGACAGCTCTGGTACAGGTTCCATGCTTTCCGGATGCCAAGCCCCAGCTTGAGGGCTGCGCCCCATTGCTCGTCCCCCATGGCAGACTCTCCTTCCACAGATACTTGCAGCAGACCTTGGAGCAAGGTTGCCTCAGCCTGGAAGACGATTTGCATAGGAAGCTCGAGGACTTCTTCGAATTGTATCATCATACGTATCGGAAGCTGGATGTCAGATCGTTGAGGCAAGAAGTCAGCTTGCCTCCAGTCAGAAGCGATGGGCAAATGTTTTGACAGTTATAACAACAGACAAACAACTGACTTGCAAACCATGGACCAGTTCTCGAGACTAGAGCGCAGGCAGGTGAAAACGTGGATTGAATCATCGCTTGCTGGTGCCACCACCGACCTGTAGAGCTGTACACCTTGCGACGGCTTTCTGTCTCTGCCATTCTTTCCTCCTTTGCTCCTTGACCTCGAGCACTGGGATCGTGTAGGTGGCCCCAATGACCTTTTCGTCGTCGTATTGCGCAGCATCCACGTCGTCAGTTGTTGCCACTGCAGACATCTGCAACAAGATGGGAATGTGTAAGGATGGGAGTGCCAGCGTGTCTTCTGTGTATGCTTACTCCTCCGGTTTATGCACCATCGAAGAATTCAGTCGCCTGTCGCTTGTTTCATTGACCTGGGGCTGCATCGTGCCCCTGACCATTGAGAAAGAACCATTTATGGTGCTCAATCTTTGCCTCCTGGCTCCTACTTCCTTTTAGTCTCACCTCTTTGCCCGTGCGCAGCTTAGTCACCATGGCCTTCAGGGACGTTTGCATGCCCTTCAGCGGGCTGCCAACAGCAGCCTTGACTGATGTGAGGCTGGTGGCAACGGCCTTGGTGAGCTTCGCCTTCTGTGTCTGAAATGCCAACCCGTTCCATGCGGCAATGTGCGCGACAGCCTGCACGCCAATGTGCAAGACTTGATAGGAATGCTGATGGGGACGGTTTACACTACTCTTGATGAAGGCTTTGCTGATTGCACCTGATTCTACCCCCTCCGCCTTTTTCCGAGAACACAGAAACTTGCATACCACTGCCAGGCAGTCAATCTTTCAAACCAGGAGCTTGATGATGGTACAGCTGCTACATAGACAGCACATGTCCTACCTGTTTCTCGACTAGCACCAACAGGGAGTCTGCTTGTAAAACCACCGCGGGGTCCAAGCTGAGCAGGGCTTTCAAGAGGACTGCCTGGGCGCTGTGGAGTGAAAACCGGGGGTTCGCTTGTATGTGCTTCAGAGCGCTGAAATACTCGTCCGCTTCATCAAAGCTGCCACTGTACATCAACAAGGTGCCCTGCACAACAGTTGGAGGTACGTTTGGTGTGGCCCATTTGCTGTTATCAAACGTGTGGCGAAAGCGTTTCAACATCAGGCATTTGCACGTTGAGCTGATCAAACATAAGGCTACTTTCCCACAGGCAATGTGCTCTAGATTGGAGTCTGACCAAAGAAACATTTCATATACTGTACGGCAAGGGAATTCGCCTACAATGCGTGTTCTGGGGTCAACCAAACCACTGAGGCAACACTGTGAAAAGGTGAAGTTGTTCATCTACTGATAGAAGCGTCCTCCTGCTGACTGCAATGTCAATTAGACTTTCACAGCGCCCGGTGACACCTCAGGTATGACAACAAGATTTCACACCGACAAGTGGTGAAATCTCTTGCAAACGGCAGAAAAGTGTAGCAAAGCTCACCTGCTTCACTTGAGTATCTTCCAAGCTCTGCGCCTGAGGGTCTGACAGCAGAGTGAGATCTAGGGCTGGAGCTGGTAGCTGTTCAGAGTTGTTGAGCTGAGTGACCGAAGAGGTGCTAGGACTATCTGGAGCTAAAGATGTTTCTGTCAGCGCAGGTTGCAAAGCCTCCTCAGTGAACTCTTGCGAGCTCCTTCCTTGAGCAGCTCCTTGACTCTGCTGAGCCTGCAGAACGCGGTCATTGGCCGTCATGTCAGTTCCCCCAAAACCCATGTTTTCCATGCTTCCAGCTCTACAGCAAGCTCTTTTGAAGAGGAGCTCACATTTCAACGAGCGAATGGAAAAGGGCTTCGATTATGCCAGCCTAAAAGTACGAATTTCTTCTACATGCATGCTGCCCCCCTGCCTCCTGTTCCGCTTCTGCCAAGGAGGTGTCTCAGGTCTCCTGCTTGCCTTGCCTTGATACCTATCCATCTTCGTCGCATTGCATGCCAAACGAGAAAGTGCGTCCTGCCGGCTGAAGAAGATGGTACTAGATTAGTCCTAGATTAGGTATCGTCATACCAGGCCACATTT